TGTCAGCTCCTTCATCTCATTTTCCTAGTATAATATCTAAAATTACAAGCTATAAATGATCAAAGGAAAAGTATGGAAAATTTTCGATCTTGATCGAAGATGATGAAGAATTAAAGAGGACGATGGTGAAGACAAATGAATTACCAAGAAAGAAAAAAATAGTTGAAAGGAGGTTCATCCATCTTCTGCAATTCCCCCATCAGCTTCTCTCCTTTTGATTTATATTCCCCTTGTTTGACTTTGCCTTTCATAGATTAAGAACTTCCTCTCCCTTAATGGTCGCTAGAGGAAGAGGCACAAAGGAGTAACCATTCTCACTGACGAAGAGATTTGATGCTCACATAGGAAACCTAGGTGAGAAGTCAATGATGCTTGGACGCAAGCACTAACACTTTGTTTTATAGAAAAAAATTAAGCATAATATTAGATGAAAAAATAACATGCTAGACTTAACATGCACCGAGCCCAATGCCGAGCCTATAATGAAATGACTTATAAAACTTGGCTGACATGAAGAATAATGTCAAGCTATGTTAACTCATGAAGCCAAGGCTAAAAAAATGACTACATGAGAGCCATCAGTTTTGTATTGTTTTAAAAGATATGTTGATGATGTGAGCTTCATTTGTTTTTTTTTTGGGCTCTTGTAGTTTGAAAAATATTTAAGAGAAAATATAATTAGTAGTTCTTATAATTTTATCAAGTTTTATTTTTAATTCTTATAATTTATTTTTAGTTCTTATAATCTCTATAATTTAACATCATGAGGGACTTGAGAAATAAACGTCATCCAACTTTACTGAAATTATAAGGACTAAAAATATTGAAATAAAATATAGGGATGAAAAACAAACCAGATAAAATTATAGGAATCAATGATTGTATTTTTTTAGTATTTAATCATCTGTTTGGACTCTCCTAACCCCGTTTGTTCAAGCATCTATGAAATGAAGTTGCCGGCTATGAATTGTACTCCAATATGATTATTAAAATCCTTTCATACATGCGAGTATGATATATTCCTTATGGAAAAAGATAGATTTATCTTTCTGAAGAGAAAATATGATCATAACATTCTTACAAATTAGACATTTTTTTTACTGTTTTGTAGAAATTATAAGCAAAGTATGGTATTCTTGACTTGTAAATATTATGTTTATTGTAAATTTTATATTTTATATTGATAAATTTCTTTTGTTAAAAATAAAGACTTTGAATTTTCTTGTTATTTATTTTTTTGTTTTTACCAAATGGCGCCCATGAATTTAAGGGTGTTCATAGGTTCGGTTTGGTTTGGTTTGGTTTTGGGCAAAAACCAAACCGAACCGAACCATTCGGTTTACTGATAATTGAGACTTGATCGGTTTTTATGAAGTTCGATTTGGTTCAGTTTTATTTTTGGTTTGGTTCGGTTTGGTTAAGGTCTTGATCAAGTTTTAATGCACTTATTTATTTTTTTTCCTTTTCTCCATCTTCATAATGGTGCTATGTACTAAAATTAAATTTAATTCTTTTTGACTCCTTTTTTTTTCATAAATAGAGGTATAAAAATGTAATAAAATTTTAATGTGATAACAATAATTAATCATAAAAATTTATATAAGTTTTTTAAGATTAAAATTATTTAATATTATGTATTTTTATTAAAATTCTTTGAAAATGTTTATCTATGTATCTATATTTTAATAAATAATGAAAAATTTATTATACAAAATTCAAAAAAAAAAATGTTTCTTATAGATAAATTGAATGCTGAGGCTTTTAGGTTGCAAATAATTAAATGATGATCATAGCATGATTATTATAATTACTTAATATTATGCATTTTCATTCAAGTATTTTAAAAATGTTTATTTACTATAAAAAATTCAAAATAAAATTCTTCTTGTAGATAAATGGTTATATATTTTACAAATAAATAAATAGAATTTTTTTAATCAAGTTTGGTTCGGTTTGGTTCGGTTTTTAGTACTCAAAACCGAACTTGAACCGAACCAATCGGTTTTTATATTATAAAAACCGCAGCAGACCTGATTGTTGTTCGGTTTTGATCGGTTTTTGTCGGTTTGGATTGGTTTGGATCGGTCCTTTCGGTTTGGATCGGTTTTGAACACCCTTACCCATGATTCTGGTGGTGTTGTTTTTGCACCTACATTCAAAGTACAATCATCAAATATTTTTATTACTACGGCCATTTGTGCTTGAGTTGTTGCCTAGAAATGCATTTTGATTTTAATAAGTAAGTTAAATATGATCTATGGCACTCCATCTGTCTCAAATTATAAAATATTTTTTAAAAAAATTTGATATTCCAAAATATAAAATACTTTGAGAAGATTAATGTTTCATTAAATAAGTTTATTCCAATATTATATTTTCTCTCTCTATAATTAATTTTCGTCCCTTCTCTTTTTAATATATTAAATTATGAGTATTTTTAAAATTTTATATTTTTATTTTGAAAAGATAAGGTTATTAAGGGTATTCAATGAAATTTATTGATATATGAAATTTTATCTAAAATATCTTATAATGTAGGACAGATAGATTAATATTTAAGAAGCAAGTTAGATACCAAATTTTAAAAAATGCATTTTGATTTTCTTTATATATATAAACATTATTTTGATGCTCTTTTATCAGCCTCTTGTTTAAGAATGCAGTTGCACCACATTATTCACATTAAAAGTTAAAACTACGTGTGCAAAATTTACAAAAACATTCTTTGTGTAATTAAAGAACTATTAAAGAAAAACAAATTGAATTTGAGAGTTTCCAAGTTCTTACCATAAAGGGGCCTGAATTCCACAAGATTACAACATACGACACAAAAATAAGTTGATGTTTAAAAATAATTAATGAATTTGTCTTTTCTTTGCTCTCAAGTTAGGGTGTGTTTGGTTCCCCCTTAATTTGGGATTATTTGGAGGAGAGGAGAGAAAAAATGACTAGGATTAATTTAAACATTTATTATTTAAAAAACCCTAAACCAACTTTGATATTAAAAAAATTATATATCATCTTTCTCTCTTTCTTTGATAAAATAATAAATTTTATCACTTTACAAAAATTAATATATTATTTTTAATGTTGAAAATTTTAATATATTTTATTAGGCACATTGATAAAACATAATATTAATTCATTTGTTCTAAAAAAATTTTATTAATATAAGTTTATATCTTTAAAATAAAAAATTAATAAGCTATACTATAACTATTTTTTAATTAAATCAAAGCAAAAAATAAAAATTAAATTAAATTAAATTTGATGAGAATAAAATTGTTAACTTATTTTTAATTTCCTTCCACTTTATTCATAAATCAAACAAAAGTTTATTAAAATCCCTCTCCTCCTCATTAAAATTTCTCTCCTTCCTCTAAACTAAACACACCTTAGTAATTCCCAATGTTTTGAAAACTAGATTGGATAATGAATTGAAAAAATTAACAATTCATGATTCGCATGATCCAATCAGGTTGAACAAATAGTCAAATTAGTGATATAATAATTAAATTAAAGAATAATATATATATATATATATAATAATCTAAACATAAAAAATAAATATAAAATTATTACCTAACTTAAAAATAAAACCAAATATTTTAATTTTATCATGACTAAATAAACCACATGATATAACATAATATTAAATGATTAAAAAAATTAATTATTTTCCAAAAAATGATAAAAATAAAAAAGAAAAAAGAGTTTTTTTAACAGTTTGGTTTTCAAAAACCAGATCTAGTTTGTGGCTTAATCTCGATTCTTTATTCGATCAATAGTTTAAAGTAATATAATTTGGTCCAACTCCCTAAATAATTTTTTTGGCTTAATCGAGCCGTTAACTTGATCGTTTAGTTCAATTTGATTTTTTGATCATTAATAATTCCATATGTCTCTCTGTTTTCTTTATATAAAGAGGCGAACCCATATAAATCTTCATATATAAATTTTAAATGGATGATTCTCTTTATTTAGAATAAAAAGATTTGAAAGAAAATCTTGATTAATGATTTTTAAATTAGATTGAATTTTTTTAGGATTTTGATATAAAATACTAAAAATTTATCATCTTTGATTTCCCAAAATATTTTTGGTAAGCATTAAAAATAATTTTGAGTTACAAAATTTGTATAATTGACTTTGATAACTTTCTCAATGTTCAAAAATCACAAAAAACTTGTACATTTTAGATTTACATGTGCCTTTCACCGTTTTGATCTTATTAAGTTAAAATTTTTGAAATTTGGCTTATAAATTTAATAGGATAAATTATAAATATAAGAAACTGACTTATAAATCAATTCATAAAATTTAAAAATAATGCAAAAAATATGTAAATTCACCTGTAAATATTGACTTGTAATAATTGGAGAGATACATGAAAATATTATAAAATTTTTAAAAAAATAAATAAATAAATTATTTTTTATAATTATAAATCCATGAAAATATTATAAAATTTAAAAATAACTAAATAATAACAATTTTTTATCATCGTAACCTAAACATAAAATAATATATATTTTTTATAAAGTCTCTACAAAGTAAATTTCATTTTATGAAATCTCTAAACAATCTAAAAATCATTTTAATATTTTTTAATCACTTATTACTGTATACACTAAAAAATATTGATTTAATAAGTAATATGATTTACATAAGCTCAACTCAATTAAACACCTCAAGGTTAACATACCAGTCACATGGACTTGATTTTTTTCATTTTTATTCATATTTATATAGAATTATTGAAGTGATAAGGCATAACTATGTTTTAGAAGATCATTTTATAAACAGAATAACATGAAACTAATAATAAAAAGGTATAATAAAAAATAGTGCTACATATATATATATATATATATATTGAAGGCGAGACTCCAACTCGGCAGAACATTTTGGGCCCGGTTTCCTTCTTATCTGGCCTTTTCATTTGCATTACAATTTATGGCAGAAATACCCAAAAAAAAACAAAAGAAGAAAAAAAAAAGGCCCTTTCAGCTTAAACCCTTCCAAGTTCCAACCTTCCGTGCCAGCTTCGTTGTCCTTCGGTTCATCTCCGTTATCTCGGACCCCTTGGATTTGTTCTCCATCTGCTTCGCTTGCCATGGACGTTGAAGGTGCCCGCAAGAGAGGGCGGCCTGAAGTTGCCTCTAGTGACAATGGCAGCCTTAAGAAATCCAAGACAGGTTTGTGCTTAGTTCGAACCTATCTTATATTTTGGTTAGTGTGGGTGCTAGGAAATTCCTTGCTTTCTGGAGAGTTATGCCAATCTCTGCTTTCTCTGAAAAAGCCTGGAAAAGGTGCAGCCCCTCTTAAATAGCACAAGAAAGGGCTAGTCGAAGCCTGTTCATCGCGGGCTGCTCTGAGTTAGTTTTGGAAATTTCTTTGTGACAACAGAAGTTTCATCGATTTAGTTGTTAATGACGTAACCGCTGTTTATTTAATCGATTCATAATAATGCTTGGATTGCATTTTTCCATATGCCTTCTGATTGACAGATATATATATATTTATATAGATAATCAAGCAAAGGAGCATATCGAGCAATTACAGAGACTTCAGAAAAAGGTTAGAAACTTATCTGTCTCTCCTTAAAAGTAACACAATTTTATCATCCTATCATCCTTAAAAGTAATGGTTTGATTTACATGATTTTACCATTTCTTATTTGATCTCAAAGTTTGACCAAAACATTTACTGCTTTTGTATTTGTGGTCTTGCGAAGACCTATAATTTTTGAACTTTAAACAGATGAGAAGAATGTCCTGATGTTATTCTGTATTTTTATTGATGTTACTTCTGTAAGTGAGCACTGTTCTTGCGGAAATTTTTTTGGAAGTATTGTTGGACGTATGAGTAAATTGTCTATAGTGTAGAACTGAGACTGGGATATTTGACCGGTTTAGAAATTTCAGCTTCTTTGTCTCATTGCTGCTGATGTGATGGCTTCAGGATTTTCCCTGTGACATCAAGTGTTCTCTGTTGTCCTTGGGTAGTTGTCCAACTTTAGGAACTTTATGCCATAATTCTGATCGTGTATTGTTATAAAACCATTGTGGGGAATGTACAAGCAATTTTGTTGCTAGAATGATTTATATATATATATATATATATTTTGGTAGGAATAGGTTCATCTTTGGGAGAGTGAAAGTTTAGGCTCTAGGCTGAGCTTCTTTAGATTTTGTAATTTCCTTTTCATCTTATGAGGCGAGGTAATTCTGAATGAATTCAATTGCTTTGTATTTCTTTCTTTCTTTCCTTTTTTATGTAAAACGAATCATGTTAGCCTTTCTTATTTCCACGAAACTTTTATGGTGATGTTACTCATGAATTTCTCATGGCAGGACCCAGAATTTTATGAGTTCTTGAAAGAGCATGACAAGGAACTTCTACAATTTGATGACAACGAGGATATTGATGTGAGCGTACAATATATTTCCTCTTTTATATATCATTATCTGCTTGACCCATGCATTATAATGCATATGGACCTGTGACATATTTTCTAATTTAAATTTATCGTTACATCTGAGTTGTAATGTCATTTTATGTGCTTGTGGTTTAATGTTTTCTTGTTTTGTTTTGTCTTTGGATTTTCCACCTCTAAAGTAGTCCATAATAGTTCTGGTAGGACCCTTATAATCTACTAGAGCAGAACAGAGTTCAGTATTAACAAAAAAATTCAACTAATCATTATAAAAAAAATTTCAATTAAAGTGACAAACAATAAATGATATTTGAATTATAGAAATGAATGTTTATAATTCTGAAAGATTTTGTGAACTGGTTGAATTACACCTTATTTGGTTACTGCAAATTGGCATAAATATTCAAATGAGAGTAATTCCAAGTGCAAATGATTAATTTTTAAAAGGCTCATTTATTACACATTTACAGCCAACATAAAAGCTTTGTTGAATCTCTCATGGCATTTAATACACATTTAATTAGGTAGATAATCAGGAACTTCAACTATTGCACTCATGTCAGATTAGAATCTGCCACGTTGTTTTTCCTAAGTGTAGGCTTGAAATTGGGACAGCTAAGCTCTATCAAAAGCCCTAAATTGATTGGCTTTTTTATATATGAAAGATTATAGGGTTGAACAGAAAATACAAGAAATAAAAAACTTGACCATTAAAATTATAAAAAAGCCTGCAATGACAGGATTGATGTGGCAATGCTGTTAATCACATGATTTTCAGCTGTGTATTAATTTCTTATGTGGTCTTAATGTTAGAATTATATCAAGCATTTCCTTATTTTTCCAGGAAGAATTTGATACTGACCTGGAAGATGGAGATCTACAGCTAGATGAGAAAGCTAGCAAGCTTAGTTTTCCAGGAAAGGAGCAAGGACCTTTGAAGAAAGCCTTAACCACTTCTGTGGTTGATTCATGGTGCAAATCGGTCCAAGATAATGGAAGCTTAAGTGCAGTTCGATCTCTGATGAAAGCTTTCCGGACTGCATGCCACTATGGTGATGATGGAGGGGGAGAGTCAGTAGCAAAACTTAGCATCATGTCCAGCAGTGTGTTCAACAAAATAATGCTATTTGTTCTTAATGAAATGGATGGAATACTCAGAAATTTGTTGAAGCTTCCTTCTTCTGGTGGAAAGAAAGAAACTATAAAAGATCTAATGGCAACAAAGCTTTGGAAGAACCATAGCCATTTAGTGAAGTCCTACCTTGGAAACGCCCTCCATGTTTTGAACCAGATGACTGACACAGAAATGATATCATTTACTTTACGCCGGCTGAAATATTCTTCCTTGTTTTTGGCTGCTTTTCCTACCCTTTTAAGGAAATACGTTAAGGTATTAACTGTGCATTGTTTGATTATTCAATATTCTTTATTGTACTCTATCACACATTCAATATAGCATTGGTTCTGTGAAGTCAAATTGTGTATGTTTTGCCTTGGATTTTAAGGCACGTTGTTTCTCTACACAAGATGAAAAATAATATCATTATCATGAATGCACTGTTGCATGTGATTCTTTTTTCTCGTAAGCATATGCTTCTCTTCAGGTGCATGTGCTGGCAATGTGACACTATTTGCCTTGGGCATCTGTTGTAGTATTTCTCACCCGCTATTAATTTAATGACTTGTTTTCCTGATGATCTACCAGGTAGCCCTTCATTTCTGGGGGACTGGGGGTGGTGCCCTTCCAATTGTTTCATTTCTATTTTTGAGGGATTTATGCATCCGCATTGGATCTGATTGCATCGATGATTGCTTCAGAGGAATATACAAAGCCTATGTTTTGAACTGCCAATTTGTAAATGCAGTGAAACTTCAGCATATCCATTTTCTTCGGAATTGTGTCATTGAACTTTTAGGTGTGGACCTTGCAACTGCTTATCAACATGCTTTTGTTTTCATCCGGCAGTTGGCTATGATTTTAAGAGACGCCCTAAATACAAAGACTAAGGTACTGTAAACATTTATTTGCCTATTTCGTGTTATTTCTCTTTGGCACTGTATGATGAGTCTTGTGATACTTCATTTGTGGAATTCTTCAAACTAGTCAGTTTTTGATTGAGTAATTTCATCTGATCTCTTGGTATCATTTTTCATGCATTGCCTGCTGTGATACTTTAAGCACCTTCTAATTCTTGAATCTTGATTGAAACTTGTGGCAAGGCTGCAATTATCTGCTATTTCTATATATCAAAAAGCAAAAAATTTATTGAGTAACTAACCATGATATGTTATTTGTAAACAAAATGCTAGTACATTTTTTACCTTATATTGCCAGTACTCATTTTGCATGTCACCTGAATTTATTCTTCAGGAAGCATTCCGCAAGGTGTATGAGTGGAAATTTATTAACTGTCTTGAACTCTGGACTGGTGCTGTTTGTGCCTACAACTCAGAGTCTGACTTAAAGCAACTTGCATATCCACTGACCCAAATAATATCTGGAGTAGCCCGTCTTGTTCCCACAGCCAGATATTTTCCCCTTAGATTGAGATGCATCAGAATGCTAAACCGCATTGCAGCTTCAACAAATTCTTTTATCCCAGTGTCCATACTTCTTCTGGACATGCTGGAGATGAAAGAATTAAATAGACCCCCAACAGGAGGTGTTGGCAAAGTTGTTGACTTGCGGAGTGTACTGAAGGTTCTGACAAGCACTATTTTTTCCTTTATCAATTCTTTTCCCCTCAGTCTGATTCTTGTCATCTCCAATTAACTTTTGAGATCTCTAATGTATCAGGTTAGCAAGCCAAGCCTGAAGACTAGAGCATTTCAAGAGGCATGCGTTTCTTCTGTAGTTGAAGAGCTTGCTGAACACTTGGCACAATGGAGTTATTCTGTTGCATTCATGGAATTGTCTTTTATTCCACTTGTCAGGTTGCGCAATTTTTGCAAGTCGACTAAAGTTGAGAGGTTTCGGAAAGAAATGAGGGTCCTTATTCGCCAGGTACCTATGTAAAAATTGTCATAAAATGCAATGATAATTCTTATTTGATTACATGTATAAATTTGCGTTCATCTGAGCCTGAGTAATGTGTCTCTAATTTTTCATTTCTCTACACCCAGGTTGAGGCTAATGCTGACTTTGTGAATGGAAGGCGCATGTCAGTTTCCTTTTTACCTAATGACCCTGCAGCCTCATTCTTTCTTCAGGTTTGCATTTCTTTGCTTTTGTGGCCCTTGAGTTTCATTTGTTTTCTTGATGAGCGATTTCATACCTCTTTAGTTCATCAATTAATTTACCTATAGCTGTTGTTCAATCGGTTATTGGTCAATGTTCTCTTGAAATTGCATGAACAAAATGAAACGGATCTCTTTTTAATTGCAAAATTCTCATCTGCCACAGTCATCACCCTACATACCATTTTCTTTGAACGCTCAATTTTAGTGTACTTGAAGTAATATAACTTTTGGGGCAATTTAATGATCTATGCCGGAGAATTAAGAAGTGTAAATTTTCTTAGGATGAAAAGGAGGCTGCAGTTAGCCCTCTATCAAAGTATGTCGTTACTCTTCAACAGAGAGCACAGCAAAAGAATGCTTCATTGACAGATTCCAGGTTTGCAATCCTACTCAGTCACATGTATTACGGTACTCAACATGTAACTGTGTTTATATTATAAGAGCATCCTAACATGATAAGAATTTCCAGTGTTCTTGTTGGGGAAGAGTGCTCTGTTTTTGGGAGTAAAATATCAGAAAGTGATGAAGATGATGATGCAAGGAAGAATGAGGAAGGTGCTTCTGTCTTCAGTTCGTCCTGGTTACCTGGAAAAGGCTCCAAGTATGCCCTTTTTTTTTTCCGGTTGCGCCAACTCTCTTAATTCATGAGCATGGCCGCATTCACAAGCATTTACATATTTCAAGATTTTTTTGGAACCTTGTACTCTGGTCTCAGAATTGCTTTGCGTGTAGGGCAAAACATCCTACAGAAACAAAGAAAAAGAATCGGAAGCAGCAAAAACAGATAGCAACTGATGAAGATGTGGTGGAGGACTTGGTACTGAGTTCTGATGAGGATGATTCTCTGGATGAGAGCCTTGCTGAGGGAGAAAATGACGATGCAGGCAACTTACCTCGAAAACAGAAACGCAAGAAGCAGGGAACAAAAAGGCCGAAACAAAAGAAATCTCGTAGCAAGAGTAGAAACAATTGAGAAATCTCTATGGAAACATTGTTTTTCTTTATTCAATTGGCTTTCGGAAAAATGAAAGGTTGGCCAACAATTTTGTAGTTCTAGTCTCTCCAGATTTGTCCAATACAAGTATAGGCTTTCTGTTTGAGACACGGGTCTCATGTATATTAAGTTCAGGCTGTGGCAACATGTACGAGTAAATGTAATTCTTGATTCCTGGGAGTAAATTTGAACTATGAATTTATGTTTGTAGTAAAATATGATTTTTTATTTATTTAATTATATGGCTGTAACATTTGTTTTTAAGTTTTCTCGATTCCTCTTCTTTCTGCTGGTTCAATTCTCATTGATTTGGGTCATTCGGTCACGCATGTGTTTTGCATGAAGGATTGCTAGTTGTTAGAGATGAGTACATGTATATTGATTTTTGTGGTACATTTTCATTCACGTTCCACTTCAATATACATTAACATTTGGTGAGAACCTTTGGTTCATGTGGGATGGTCTCCTTTGACGCTAGGGTTTTGAAATCAATCACCATGTGACTCAAAAAAAGGATTAAAAAAAATTGTGAGTGCATGAAATAGGTAAGTGATGTGTGTGCGTGTGCAACGCGTAGGGTGTGAGTAATGCTTGTGTTGGGCTCCCTTCTTTTTGGAAAATCGGGAAATAGTTGGATAAGATAGATAAAAAGAAGGGGTTTTGCAATTTAGTTTTTTAAATTTATTTTAGTTATCAATTTGATATTTTAATTTTAATTTTTATTGATTTAGTTTTTAAAGTTTACTTTGGCTATCAATTTAATCCTTATTATTTAAAAAAAAGATGTAATGTTATTAAAATTTATTGATATGGATAATAGAACACTGATAACAGTCATGTAGAATAATAAAAAAAATATAATTATTTAGGTGGAAATATTTTTTTTTTTTTAAAAAAAGGAGAGCAAAGCATAGTGTAAAGAGTTGTGCTCATAAAAATTAAACTGATTAGAGGGTTAATTTATTCTCGTTTAGCTATAAATACACACCAAGTCATCAATATAATTTTATATATTAGATTATTTTGAGAGTCAATTTGTGTTTTAAAACTTAGAGGACTCACATGATAATTTAAAAAAAATATAAAAGACCAAATCGATAAAAATTTAAATTGAAGGATCAAATTAATAATTGAGACAATGTTGGGAGATTTAAAGTTTTATTATCGTTGAAAAGAATATACATATGATTTCTAACAATTAAAATTTATGAAAATTGTCAGTGCTAATCAGGATTTAAATATAATAAAACAAATTCGTGATGGAAATATTTTCAAATTGTAATAAATTATAATTAACTGTAAACTTCATTTTAAAAAAAAATAGGGCTTAGGTGTAAATGAAAAAATTTATTAGAATATATTACTATTAATTAAGGTTCTTGATATAAGTCTAACTATAAAAATTTCAAGGTTTCAAAAATTGGACGAACTAGCCTGTTTGATCAGTTCAACTGGAAATCAGTCATTAGCTTAGTCCAATGATGCAAGTGAAGTGTGGAACAAACAGCTCAAAAATTGGTAAACTAGTCAATGAAACGTAGAAATAGGGAAAACCGATTAGTTTACTGGCCAATTCATGGTTTATTATTTTTCCCTTCAAGTCAATGAAACCACGTTGCTTTGGATTTTTTTTTCTTAAAAATAAACTTTCAAAAATTGAAGGCCCTGTTCCTCAGTTGTAAAGTTGATAATTTAGATGGGATGTGCTTATTTGAGTTGTCTCCAATAAATTAATTTTTTTTTTTAAATCTCCTCCCCCCACATGATCAAACTCGGTCTTACTACTCTTGAGCTTCGAGCCAGCCCAAAACTTGAATAGTTAATTTTTATTTTTTAAAAATAAATTTCAATTTTTACTTGAAAGTTAATTATTTTTATTATAAAAAATATAATTTTTTTCATTACTTAAAAAATTAGAATACTCAATTTTTTTAAAAAAATTTGAGCGTCTTATAATTTAAAAATCAAAATTAAACTATATTTCAAATATTATTCTAAGGTATTTTATGGATTAAAAATAATAAAAATATAATAGGATCAATATTTTTAAACCAACGAGCATTAGCTTAATTAATTTGTACTAGCTTAGCTAGAGATACTGAATTCCAGTCTTGAATATGCAACTATATTAAATACTTGGCTCCATCCATGAATAATCGATAATTGTGTCAAAAATATTAATATTTTCAATCTATGCTAAAATTTTTTGAACTTATTCAAATTCAAACAGGGGTTGATCAGAATTACAGGCAATATAGGCCTGTCGTCTGCTATTCATCTTTTCTTCACTTCTTCCTTCACTCTAACCGTCTAGCATTTGCTCAATCTCTTTGGTACGAGCATGGTCTTGAAATGAGAAAAGAAGGCAGAAACAGAAAAGAAAGAGATAGGGAAGAAGAGACAGAGAAGAAGGAAGCCAGTGAAGAGAGATAATCCACTTATGCGATAACCGTTTGCGGAAACACAGGCGCATGCACATGGTCTGGTAGTACATCTTGTTCATAATGCTGGAACCACTTGTACGCAGTATCATCCAGAGAAATACTAGCTATTAGAGTCTTGTGAGTCTTGGTGTTCTATCCAGCAAGAAATAGCATTCACACCTGGCAATCCACAAATCAACATTAGTTGAGGAATAGTTGGGAAAGTCTAACTTAGTGTAACAGATTAGAACCTGATAATCATCACATCTCTCACGTTCTCACCCCTATTGCATATCAACGAGTTGTAAAGGCAAATGTCATAGAAGCTCTTGCATTCCAGTTACTTGCATCTACATTTGTAGTGGTCCCTCACAGTAAAGCATTGATCCATTTCTTCCCATAAATGGTCCTCCACCTCACATACAATGACTTGTGAATGTGTAGCGTCTGCCATCAAGATTCAGCCTCCTCTGATGTCAATGGAACGAGCACAATCCTGAAATGAGAAAAGCAGAAAAGAAAAGAGACAGAGAAGAAGGAAGCGAGTGAAGAGGGAAAATTCCACTTATGCCATAACCATTTGCAGAAACATAGGTGCATACATATGGTACAACGATACATGCCTAAGATAAAGACAAACAAGGACATAACAATAGCATAAAAGACAAATGCATCCTTTTAACACATAATATCATATCACTCTCCTTATCGTCACTGCTGTCTCTATCCACTACAAAAAAAAAAAAAAACAGCTGATTAGCTATGAAAAATTTTGTGATAATCAGTAAAAATTCTATCATTAAATGGATTAGTGACAAAATATTTTCATCAGTAAAAATATCGTTACTAATTCATTAGCAACGGAATTTGCAATTCCGTCACAATTAGTGACGAAATGTGACGGAATAGCGACAGAAATTTTTTATCATTAAATAAGGATAAAGTTATTCTAACTTTGTGACAAAATGCATTCTGTCGTTAATTTTCCAACGGACATATTCCATTACTAATTATGTCACAAATTTATTAGGTGGATCAAAACATCGATGAGCCAATATCACCTCATCACCACCTAGTCACTCAATGGATCAGTGCCACCTCACCATCACATTATTGTCACGTCATTTGTCATTGTCATATCAAATATTATTACCTTTAATTGTACCTTGACACGGTTTGAACTTACAACCTCATACTTCCATGTGCCTTTGTGTCCACCTTGTTGTCAGTTGAGTTGAAAGGAATCTTCAATGTTAATTGATAAATTAAATATATAATACTTAACCACACACACATATATTAATAAATGTATTATTTAAATTATTATTAAATATAGTATCTAAATTTAATTATTTTTTAACATTATATTTATTTATTAATATGGAAAAATTAATTTATACATAATTATTATTTTTATTATATTTTATTTAAAATAATTATTTTTGATATAAATTAAAAATATTTTATTATCATTATATATTATAATTTGTATCTATATAATATATAATATTTTAAATTTTTATTTTATAATTATTTTATTTTTATTTTTAAATAAGCATAATTAATATAAAATTTAAATTATTATTAATAATATACAAATAATCTAAAATAATAAATTATTTTAAATTATAATTTTTAAATTATTTATTTATAGCATAATAATAAATTATTGAATAAATTATATATAAATATATATTATAAATAATAAAATTAAATTAAAAATAATTTGTAATGGAATTAGTGATAGAATTATGATAGAAAGAAATTCCATCGCAAATTCCGTCACTAAATTGAAATAAGATATCTTAACCATTAACGATGAAATTTTCCGTTGGTAAATTATTTCTGATTGATTAGTGAAGGAATAATGATAAAATTTTAACGACAGAACATTTCATCGATAAATTTCGTCGCTAAATAGTTAGGATATCTTATTTTGAATTAGCAATGAAATTAGTGATAGATTAGTGACGAAGATTTATTTCATTTCTAAATTCTGTCATTAATCTGCTATTTTTTTAATAGTGATCGCTCAAGGTTTCCGTTCGTCTCATAACTCTTCTTCTCTTTCCTTCCACTTGCCATCACTCCTTAAATCCTGATTGATTTAGGTAGCGTGAATTGTGAAGCCTTGGTCCGTGGTTGTGCTTTTCTGAATCTTGCCCTCCCATTGAAGTCGTCAATGTTGCTAAAGATTTTTATAATTGTTTTATTTATTCATTTAGCCTTCTTCTAGTTCCAAATTTCTTGAAGCGGTCAAACTTTTTTTTCACTTTGTCATGAATCCTGATCCTGAGTAGCTCCATAATTAAAATAGTTTTTTTTTTTGGATATATGTTGTTTCGTTGTTTTCTAATTATTCCAGACGTTGGGTCATTGGATGGGTATAGACATGATAATAATACTTTGGATTTGGCATTAATATTTGTGAATTTTATAATTTTAAATGTCATTTTTATGCTTTTATAAGAATTTAATTATTAGTTTTTATATGGTGGCAAAAAAAAATAGTTTTTGTATGTATATTATGAATGTTGGGTTGGTTGAATATTGATTTAGTATTAATATTATGGATTTGTTATTAATATTTGTGATTTTTATAATCTTAAATGTCCTCCATTCTCGCGTCTGCAACACAAGGTTTATTTGGAAGGAAGACAAAAACGAAATTGATGAATCAATGGCTGCAAGAATAGATTAAAAGGACAGAAATTGCATAAGAAAAAGAAAATGTAAAAATGCTGATACTGTTGTAATAGAGGGACATATTAGGCAATCTACATTTGTTCCCCATACGTTGGCGCCGATACTCTTCTTTTCCCGAACTTTCATAAGCTTTTCTTTTCCCACAAGAAAACAAAATCAAAACGCAAACGTCGGGCTCGTCGCTGGAGAGAGAACGTAGAACCTGGCCGTCTCGTTTTCCCTTTCGCTTCGACACTCACACACGAGTCTCTCACCTTCACTTTAAGATCTTTGATTATTAAGATTCTGTAGTGAAATACCTTCGGATGATTATTTTGTCACTAACTACCGTTGCTTCTGCAGGTTGTTGAGACTGTGGAAGAAGCAGTGGTAACCATTTTGATTAAGGAACACGCTTCACCGGTCGCCGTCGGCTTTTGAGTCTCAGAATCTGAAAGATTGTGGTAATATTTTCATGTCTCTCTTCTCTCTCTTCTTTTAAAGTAGAAATCAAATTACCAAAATGTTAAAAAACTATGATTTGGTTGAACTCCTTTGGCTTGCAATCGGCTCGTATCTTTTATCAAGATTGTGAATTGATTGGATTTCTTGCACCTTCCTTCACAATTGTGAAGAAGGTGGTGAAGAAAGAGACTAGTTTAGGGCTTTCAAATCGAAAGGCAGACAACTATTAATTAGGGTTCTTGATACAATTATAATCATGTGAAATTCATTTAGTACACATGTGTATACATACATACATACATACATACATATAAAATTTATTCACATGATTCATGAAATTCTTTTTCTCGATTGATAATATTGAATTCGTTATATTATTAAAATTATTTGTTTGTCATATGTTAAAAAAATCTTTAAAAACAAAATCTTCATTGATCCTAGTTTTCAAATTTTTTTAGTACAAAAGTATTACAGGTAGAAGTTGAATATGATCATTATAAATGATCCTGAAAAAAGATTAAAAATATATTTTATGATATGAAACCACTAATTAAGTTTTACTCGTTACTTACATAATTTTTCCCTGGATAATTGGATTTCGATTTTTGTTTGAGAAATATAATTTTAAAGTCAAATTATTAATCTTTTAACTTTTTTTTTCTTTTACTTACAGTTATCCTCCTATTTGAACACAATCCTATTTGACACATAATTAAATATTAAATGTAGACATCTCTTTTAAGTGAGATTCAAACTTTAGTTTGTTAAGGGATTAGATTTTTTTATTAAACCTAATCCCATTAGTTAAAATATTTTAGTATTAATCCTTTACCATTGATAGTAATTGGTGTCAATGTCAAACAAATTTAATTTGTTACTAATTAAAGGATAACATTTATGTGCTTAATATTAATCCAAATCAGCCTTGTCTTCAAGTAAGAATTTTTCAAGCCAGAGGCCCATATTAAACGCTTCTGCATGATTTTCGTGTGTTCAATTGTTTCAAATTTCAAACTCCTCACCACAAACCGGGTTGATTGGGTCAGAGGCACACTTAGATGGCAAAGAGCCTCATTGTTTGCCAAGGCATCATGCAGCACTCTCTAAATAAAATTAAAGAGAAATGACAATTAGGAATTTCATTAGAATATTAATAACAATTATAAATCTTGAATTATTAAAATCTTAATAAGAGACTATAGTTTTTACTTGCAATAAATTATTTTTTATTGATTGATTTTAGATTCACAATGAACTTTTATAAATTCTCAACTAGTACTACAAAAATTTTTAAATATCTTTTGTTAATTTCTCAAGCGATAGTAAAATTCATGAGTGATGGCTTGCAATTCACAACTAACTCTTATAATTTTTCAACTAACATTATAAATAATTTTATGTCCATTTTGTAGATTTTTCAAGCTATTTATCTATATATTGGTAGCAAAAAAAATTATAAATGATTAACTCTAAAAATTTTTTAACTAATATTACAAATAATTCCAAACGTATTTGTTTAATTTTTCAACTGATTTATTTGTATATTGACAATAAAAAATTGATATTCATAATTAATTTTCATAAATTTTCAACTAACATTATAATTTATAAACAATAATTAAAAAAATTAGATTGAATAGAACGATCGAATCGGCGATAGTTCTTCTGGTCAAGCTAACGAATAGGTCAAGTCAAAAAAATTGTTTGGAGAGTTAGGTTGGATTGAGTTATTTTGAACCAACGATCAAATTGAGAATTGAGATCAAGCTAGGAACTGGATTTAGTTTTTTAAAAACCAAACTGTTCATAAAAAAATGCTCCTTTTCTTTTTTTTTAAATTTTTGTATCTTTTTTTTTTAAATGACCAATTTTTTAAATCATTTGATGTTATATTGTATTACGTGGCTTGTTAAGCCATGATAAATTTAAAATATTTAGTTTTATTTTTAAGTTAAGTAGCAATTTTATATTTATTTTTTATATTTAAATTATTATATACATATATAATTTTTTAAATTTAATTATTATGTCACTGGTTTGATCATAAGTCCAACCCAATTGAATTATGTGAACTGTAGACCGATGACCTTTTCGATTCAATATTCAGTTTAATTTTAAAAACATTGATAATAAATAATCCCAAGTGTTTTTTGTTTACTTCCCAACTAATTATTCACATATTTTTTAATTATAAGTAAGGATCATGGTGTGTTATTAGAATTTTAATAATTCATGATTTATAATTGTTATTAATATTCTTATGGGTTACTAATTATTAATTTTTCAAATAAAATTTCTGACTTTGGGCATTACCTAATCTTCCACACAGCATTCCAAATTCTAGCAACAACAAGGCTGGATGAACTTGCTAAATAAAAATAGAGTTAGCCAATTTTTGTTCCATGGCTAAATTGTAACCAAAGTTAACTTTGTACGGATCATTTTCAACTGCAGCCCGAATAAACTTAAATGGGCTGATCCTACGGCCTTGTCTTATTTTTCTGGCTCTAGCTCCACGTAAGGATCAACAGCATTATCAATTACAGTTAAGAAAATATGAAAACTCAAACACTAAATAATATTTTACATTGTGATATGGAATCATATATTGTTATAACTGAGACGTTATTGACAACTATTGTCATACAAATTTGATATAATCAATAATTTCTTCAAAGTCCTGATTATACAATAAATATCTATTGTGGTTGCCGGAGTCATATAAACCAATTTAATTATTTTAATTATAAAATTTATATAAATCAATTTCAAAATTTTTTTTAATCTTTTAAATCTTGTAATGACTAGTCTTGCACGGCTGTAATGCACAGGGTTCCACCAAGGCATCGCGTCCTGTACCGAGACTTGATTTGGGTACTCAATTTGAACCATTTAGACCTGATGGTCTATATTTTAAATATTATTGTATATTATACTTATTAAAATAAAAAATTTATGGAAATTATAAAATAATTTTAATAAAATTTTTAATTTTAATATAGTCTAGATTTAATTTAAAGGGTTTAATTTAATATTAAAATTTTTATAATTGATGTATATTAATTATTTCTAAATCTGGATTATACAGAGTACATCTGAATAGTCAATATACATCAATTATAAAAATTTTAATATTAAATTGGATCCTTCAAGTTAAACCTAAACCTTATTAAAATAAAAATTATTAAAATTATTATATAATTTTTATAAATTTTTATTTTAATAAATAAAAAATAGATAATAATACTTTAAATCTAGATGGCCAATATCAAAATTTAAATGGTCCAGATTTTATCACAATGATGAGTACCATGATGATGAGCACCCAAATTGGTCTCCTAAATCCTGATTCCTTGACCTTTTATTGTTATTTATATAGAAATTAGTCAAATTACACCAATTTTTGAATCAATTATAATTTTTTAACATGTATTCCTCTAATTTTATTTATAATGTATAATTAAAATTAAGAAAAACATCATAATTTATTAACTCTATATAAAAATTTAATAATTTTTTAATTTTATTTTTATTAAATATATATATTTGAATAATATTTTTTTTAACATTCAACGAAGATTAAATGAAAAATTGTGAGATAAAAATTTAATGAGATGATAAAAAAAATCTTCTGACAAAGACAAAAGAGAGTAATAAATTTGATTGGTGATTGTATGAATCATATCAATTTATTATTATTATTTTTTTAACATTGCAATCTTACTAAAACTGGCAACATGATCAGAAATTATCCTAGAAAATGAAATAACCTTAAGATTGTGTTATTCCTCCTTCACCGCCTGGCCCCAAAACTTTTCCCTTCCCTTTCCCTGTTTCTCGGCTCCGGTGACCTCTACCTCGCCGCCGCCGTTGGCTGTCCTCGGGTGCTCACTCCACGACGTTGCTCTCGGTATTATTTTTCACCCCCTCCTTTTATGCATATTGATTCTTCTCTTCCCATCGTTTAGATGAAAATTGATAGTTGAGATTTGTTCTGGCCTGATTCAGAGTTAAAACTAATATCCCCAAATTTGGTTGTTCTTTAATCCCAAGCAACAGTTCTCGGTGTTGAAGTCCTATCGGAAGGCAATGTTTTGCTTTATTTGAGTTGTATCAAAGGTTATCTCTTGTAACAACGACGCTTGTTGAGCTGTTGTAGTATTGGAGACCTAAAATTATAGAAAGGAGAACGTCTCTGAAATGTGATTTTGATTAATCACATTTAAAGAAATACTTCCTTCATTTTAAAATATAAAATATTTTTTTAAAAATTGAATATTAAAAAATATAAAATATTTTTAATCTTTTAAGATAAAATAATTATTTTTTAAAGGCAACCCTATTGATGAATGACTTTTTTATTTATTATAAGGTATTTAATATAAGTAAATATGAAAAAATAATATTAATTTAAAAATAAATAACTACTTTATTTAAAAGTAAAATTTTATTAAAAATATTTTATATTTTTAAATAAATGAAGTAGATATTTTTGTCACCAATGATGCCATGATGGTAGCAGTTGTTGGTGGTGATCTCACATGCATGAACTTCTTTAAATAATTTTTATTTCCACGAGAGCCATATAAAAAAAACTATTAGAATATGGAAAATATAGTATTTATTGCACAGTTTTTAATACTTGAAATGTGATGATTTTTATTTTTATTTTGTGAAATGATATATTTTAAATTGGAGCAAGCATGTCATTTTTCAAAAAATCTACAATATAAGACAAGTTTTTTAAAACCACACAATAATTATTTCATTTCATAATATTTATTTATTATTTATATATTGTAGAAATATTTTTTTTGTCATTTTCTCATCATTTTATGATAAATATGAAACATAGAAAAATGAAAACACCAGTGAGTGAGTTCGTAGGAATACGTAAAATTTTTGTGATTTTGTCCTCATTTTATGATTTATGATGAAGGCAATGGCAAAAAAAAAATAATAATAATAATAGTTTATTTGGAAGGAAGAATGAATGGGTGCAGTACAGGAAAAAACTTAAAAAGACAGAAATACTGAAATAACATAAGAAAAAAGAAAATATAAAAATACATATTCTTCTAATCTTATTTATAAAATATTTTTTAAAAATAATTTTTAATTTAAAATATAAGACATTTATAATAATTAAATTATTTTTTATTTTAATTTTTTGATTAATATAAAAGTATTTAATGTGATTGTATTATTATTTAAAATTAATAATAAAAATAAAGTTATCTGACACTTTTTTATAATATAAAAAATATTATTTTTTTATAATTATAAAAAAATATATAAAAAATATATAAAATAATTAAAAGTGTTTTATCATAGGAGATCCACAAGTATACGAGGGGCATATTGGGTAATCTATATTTGTACCCCATGTATTGGCGCCAACGTTCGCCATTTCCCCATTCGCTCTCCCCTCCGACGTGTTTGGAAGCTTTTCTTTTCCCACAAGAAAACAAAACCGAAACGCAAACGTCGGGCTCGTCACTGCCGAGAGACTGTAAATGATTCTGTAAACCCTGGCCGTGCCCTGTCACATTTTCTCTTTCGCTGCGACACTCACACACGAGTCTCTCACCCTCACTTCTGGATCTTTAATTATTAAGATTCAGTAGTGAAATACCTTCCGAATGATTATTTTGTTACTAACTACCATTGTATCTGCAGGTTTCTGATACTGTGGAAGAAGTAGTGGACTCTATTTAGACAGAGGAACGCGCTTCATAGGTCACCACCGGCTTCTGAGTCTCAGAATCTGAGAGATTGTGGTAATCTTTTTGTGACTCTTCTTTCAAAATATAAATCAAATTAAGAAAATCTTAAAAAGCTCCGGTTGGGTTTGAACTTCACCAGTTTGTTATCCTCTCGTATCTTTTATCAAGGTTGAAAAGAGAATAGACTATTATTCTTTGACATCCGCTTAATAACCTCAGCTTGTGCGAGGCTTTGAGTTATTATCTGTTATTAATTTGACTTGGCATGGTTTCTCTTTTGGCGGCCTCTCCCCCCTTTCTGCCTCCATACGCGCCGGCGTTTCTTAGGTGGAGATTCAGGATGGCCGGAGCTGATGCTGACAGGCCCACTAGAGAAATTTCAGGTGGTTATTGTTTGTACCTTTTGTCTGTTTCTACATTTTAGTTTCTAATTGTGAATTGTTTGGATTTCCTGCACCTTCCTTCACAGGTGTGAAGAAGAAGGTGGTGAAGAAAGAGACTGGTTTAGGGCTTGCAAATCGAAAGGCGGAAAACTTTGGGGAGTGGTACTCTGAGGTACCTTCTTCAAATTATTAATATTTTTCTGTTGTTCTTTTGATCATGTGTTAACGCAAACTTATCCATCGTCATCTGACTTCTCTTTGTCACCCCCTCTCTGAGCTTAGCGAACAGCGACAATATCAATAGCTGTATATTCTCAAGGGTTTTATGGTTCTAGTGACGGATGTTGAAATTGAATTTGAGTAAAATGGAACTTACTGTCATTTTTCGTCCTTTAACTTAGGCATTGTTTGGTTGGGGGCTCCCCTCCCCTTATTTGGTTTGGAAAAGTTCCCATCCCCTCTCCTCCCCTCCAAACCCTCCTTAGAGGGAAGGGGTATAATTTTGTTGTGTAATGATCAATATACTCTTTTTTTTTTTAATTACTACACTTCATCTTTTTAGACAAGCTCAGCAATGGCAGATTTTTAATAATATATTTAACAAGGATAATTACTTTATATACTTATACTTACATGTTAAAAACATTCATAACTATAGTTTATTAGAAAAACAATTTTAATAATATAAGGATAAAGTTGTCTATATATAATTATTTTTCCTCCCTTTACCTTCTCAATTTAATAAGGTAACATTAAAACCCTCCCCTCCAACCAAACAGGCCTTTAGGCTTTTGGCTGCAAAATTTGATGACCAGATATTGGCGGGCTTTTCCTATTTAATTCTTTTTGATGTGGCGTGACAGCTAGTTGTACGTGCGGATATGATTGATTACTACGAAATATCTGGATGCTACATCCTTTTGCCGTGGGCAATGTCAATCTGGAAGGTGATGCAGGTGAGTTCATCAGTTCTTTTCATGCTCATTGCTACGCCTTATGTTACTTGCCCATATGGTTTCAATAAACTCTTGTTTGGTAGGTTTAACTTTTGAATAAACTCTGGTTCCTTAAGCATAGATTCCGGTATTTAGATTGCTTAAATGCATCTGTTGTTTAATCTTTTGGAAATCAATGTGCAGGACTTTTTTGACGCGGAGATAACAAAAATGAAAGTTGAAGCCTGCTACTTCCCCATATTTGTGCCTGATTACTTTTTGCAAAAGGAGAAGGATCATATTGAAGGCTTTGCGCCAGAGGTGCATGAAATTTCATTTTAATTTTTGGATGATTTACTAGGTATGTTTGAGCTATGTATTGGAAACAACTGCTAAAACAGTGATTAAATAATTTCAAATTCACAAATAGAGAGTTTTGCATGCCTGAGGATATACTTAAAGGAGCCGTTAGAAAGCAAGAGGTAGAGGTATCACCTGCATCGATCCCTAGCACACATAATATAAAAGGAGAGAAGGAATCTCTAATGTCACTATATGAGCGCAACAAAATTATGGTGTTGAAGAAAACCCTAATAGCAGCCCTTTTAAACTCCCATAAACATTAATTCTTAAGGGCTACTGGTCAGAACCTCTACTTAGTGGGATTGTATGTAATTCAACCTATTGCAAAATACATTCAATTAATAGAGCTTAATTTGTCCTGAGCTTAATATTCATTACAAAATGAATTAATGCTAATTAATAGTTAATTGATTTATAAATTTTTCCTGCAAGTACTTTGTTAATATCTTGTAGATTATTGTTCCTTTGAAAGTGGAAATGTTGTGCGTTTTTAAATTGATTGTTTAGTTTTAGTTAGCAACATTTTATCTCGTTTATGCAGAAATTGGATTGTCTTCGAGAAGGAAATTTACAGTTTAGGAACATTATTGTTATATTAGTGATCCTTTGCATTTTTGCCAGGTTGCTTGGGTGACAAAGGCCGGGGGTACTGATTTAGAAGCCCCTATTGCTATTCGCCCAACCAGTGAAACTGTCATGTATCCATACTACTCTAAGAAGATAAGGGGACATCGTGATTTGCCTAAGAAATTTAACCAATGGTCCAATGTTGTCAGATGGGAGTTCAGTAATCCCATGCCATTCATCAGGTGTTGCATAGTTTTCTTTCTCATTGGTTCCTTTTTTCATGTTACATCTTATCGCGTTGGGTATTGGATACTTCTAATGTGAAAAGTCATGCACAGTATCAAAATCAAACAAGATTACTCACCTTGGAATATCAAGCCTTTAGCCCTCTAGTATTTTCTTTTCTAGTGCCTTGTAATCATGATCTGATTATCCTTGTCAATGCTCTAATGGAAGTTTCATAAATAATGAATTGGTCATAGTGAAGCCCTTTTGCAAAATAGTAGTTATTGATGTTTTCTTGAATCTTAAGCTTAGTAAGAAATTGGAGTTGTGATGACTTAAAACATTGTTGTATAATTCACTCCCACAAGCAGTGGCTGTCATGCAGATAAATTTGTATATGTTCTTTCAGTGTTCACCAGTCTCATTAATTCTACTCCTTGTTTTTGTTTTTGTTTTTTTTTTTTTTGGGAATGAGTCTCATTACTTTTTTTGATTGCAGAAGCCGGGAATTTCTTTGGCAAGAAGGGCATTCTGCTTTTGCAACGAAGGAGGAAGCAGATGTAGAGGTCTGATGCTTGTATTGCATCAATGATGTTAGATTTGATATCAAATTATTGTTTGGGTCTCATGTTTATAAGTAAATTAATTTAATAACTTTTGTAACTTTCTGTATCTGCATCCATGCTCCATGCAAAGAAGAACTAGTCTCTAGTTTTTAAAGTACTTTTGTCTGCTCTTTGTTTTTAATTATATTTGTTTGCTTGCACATTTTATGTTTTATATTGATTTAACTAATTAAATGTCTTGAAGACTTGAACCATGCTGCAAAGATTTTGACATTAATGGTTTTAAACCTTCATTATTTAGTTTTTCAAAGAAAAGGTACTTTTACTACTAATGAGGCTTGCATCCCTGTAATGTACATGGGCATCTGATTTCATAAGCTTCTTCTGAACTTTTTTATTTTCAAAATATACTAAACCAATCCTTTTTCAGGTCCTTGAGATATTGGAGTTGTATAGGCGTATATATGAAGAATATTTGGCAGTTCCTGTCATTAAGGGTAAGAAAAGTGAGCTGGAGAAGTTTGCTGGTGGACTTTACACCACCAGTGTTGAGGTACATATCTGATTTCCTTGCACTATGATTGACATGTTGCTGAAATATGGTGCAATTTGTTCATACGATTGCAATGTACCATATATTAGGCATTTGTTCCAAACACTGGTCGTGGTATACAAGGTGCAACTTCTCACTGTCTTGGCCAAAATTTTGCTAAAATGTTTGAGATAACTTTTGAAGACGAGAAGGGAGAGAAAGCAATGGTCTGGCAGAACTCATGGGCCTATAGTACTCGAACTGTGAGCTTTGATTTCAATAATATGTAAATGCATTTGCGAATTCCAATGCATCAGAAAGTGTTTTATTTCCTGTCTTTTTTACAGATTGGGGTGATGGTGATGGTTCATGGGGATGACAAAGGGCTAGTGCTGCCACCTAAAGTTGCATCAATCCAAGTCATTGTGATTCCAGTGCCGTATAAAGATGCTGATTCTCAAGGTATTTTTGATGCCTGTTATGCTACTGTGAATACTTTGTGTGAAGCAGGTATTCGTGCTAAGTCAGACTCTAGAAATAACTATTCTCCTGGGTGGAAGTATTCGCACTGGGAATTAAAAGGTGTTCCCCTAAGGATCGAAATTGGGCCACTGGATTTGGCAAATAAGCAGGTCGCCAACCTTTTCCCGTTATTGCATAAGCTCTTATTCGTGTAATCTTTTTCTAGTTGTCAGTTTGTCAATGAATAGCAATAAACAATTTTCACATGGTGCACAGGTGCGGGCAGTTCGACGTGATAAAGTGGAAAAAATAGACATACCCAGGGATGATTTGGTCAACCAAGTCAAAGACATGCTGCATAGTATTCAACAAAACCTATTTAATGTTGCAAAACAAAAACGAGATGCTTGCATTCAGGTTGTACATACTTGGGATGAATTTGTGGAAGCATTGAGCCAACGGAAAATGATATTGGCTCCTTGGTGTGATGAGGAGGTAGGATTATTTGAAAGTCGTCCTAGTTTTAAGTTTCAAATGCCTTAGTCGGAAGAGGAAATTTAATGACATGGATCTTTCTGGTAGAGTCATCTGTTAGACATGGTAAACATAAGAATTGGTTTTGGAAGTATTTTACTTTATGTCTCATGGCTTGTATGGTCTATTCTTCCTGTAAACGATGGAATCGGTGAATCGTGTTATCAATACTTATCTGTGGAAAGTTTTGTGTTGAAATTGAAACGACTTTTCCTTATACCGTTCTGTTATAGTTTTCCTCTGTTACAAGTTATCTGTCGCGTTTTTCTCACCATGGGATTCGATATATAAGTAATAGTTTGTATAGTAGTTGTTTCCTGCACTTCTTTTTTTTCCCCCCGTCTAGAGCTTTGTTTTACTTATTAGTGACAGATTTAGATTTTTTTAATTTTTTTCCCCTTAAATCTGTGCTGCTTTAGGCTGTGGAACTAGAAGTGAAAGCAAGGACAAAGGGTGAGATTGGAGCAGCTAAGACCCTTTGTAGTCCCTTTGATCAACCAGAACTCCCTGGAGGTAACATTTCTTTCTTCCCTGTCTGATGTGTGTGCGTATTTGTTGTTAGCTTCAAATGATGAAAACTTACACGCTTAAATTCCTTCACTGCGTCCTCATATTCTAACTACACTTACTGGCTTGCATGCCCATTTGATATCTTCTGTGTTGTGAATGCTAATTATATATGAATTTAAAAATCAATTTTGTTACTAACTCTCACAATTTGAAGGTCTTCTGATTCATTATTTTTGGTTAGGTACCAAGTGCTTCGCATCTAGTAAGCCTGCAAAGAAATGGACTTACTGGGGCAGAAGTTACTAGATCACTGGCTCCTGTTAAGAAATGTTTGTTACTGGAGTGTTCTGTTCTGGATTGCTTGGGTTCACAAAAATGAGTTACTTTACTTGGGCATGTGAAAAGTTTATTTAGCTACAATTGATTCCTGAGTTTTTATTCTAGACTGACTTTTTTGTTAAATTCGTGAGTATTCTTAGAATTTTTTTATAAAAAAAATTATTGTTAGGCCATCCCTTTCTGTGACTACAAATTAAAAGGATGGGATTTTTTTTTTTTTAATATGGTTTTGGATTTAGGCTCATCCCAATGGACAATGGTGGAGATTTTGTTTATTTTGGTGTTCAGCATTTCAAGCTGAATAATGGGGTGTTCTTGTGGTGGAATGGTGGTCATAGAAGAATCATTCTAGAATTGGACTCTATCAGTTGTACAGAAGCTGCAGAAAGTGAGTAGTATTGTAGTGGATCAAATTTGGAAATGGTCGGAAAAGGAGTGGGAGATTCCTTAGCCAAATTGAGTTTTGATCTTGGATGTGGCGCTCATGTATTTCGCCACGTGATTGATACTCTGAGGACGTGGCCTTGGGTTTGAGCAGTGAGGATTGCTGCTTTGTTTTGTTGGTTTTGCTGTTTGTTTGGGCCTCTTTCATGTTCCCAAAAAACCTATTTGCGATTTATTTGTATGCTATACCAGATCTTGAATCTCGTGGATGTCAGATGAGATGTATTATTTATAAATTTAATTATGTATATATATATATATATTTTTTTTTACTAAAGCTGAATATGCCACGAAAATAAGATAATAGTCTTTTGAGAAATGTTTACATACACACACATTATAAAAATGAATGAAAAATTTTTCACCTGAAGTTAAATTATGATTAAATTATTTTTATACATTGTATGTTATGAGTTCAATGCTATTTGTTTTCTATTGCTCACTATAAATTTAATTTATACTTAACTTTAAAGGTTTTTATTTCTATTTTATTCAGATATAGAATGTTATTTTATCATCATTATATAATATGTAATATGTTCATATTTACGAATTGAGGTTCATCTTACATTTTACCAAATTAATTCAATATTTTTTATCAAAATAATGTCTAATTATATAAATATCAAGTATATTAATGTGCCGTTAAATTTTCTTGGTGTATCATTTATAATGATATATATATCTTTTGCGATATGATGGTTAACAAGTAATTTTTATTTTTTCTATTGAAAAATCCTATGTTTAACTTTTCCTTTTAAATGTGATTGTCATTTTATTTAAAATTATAATATTATCCTTAAAGGGATTATATTTATTCAATTAGATAACTTGATAATAAAAATATGAATGTTATATAATATTGATTTATATTTTTTAAACAGTGAAAACATTGATTGAAAATTATTTTAAAATAAAATTTATTATTATGATATTTTAATTCAAGTCAATAATAAATTAAATTGAATATTATAATTATTATTAATTAAATACTCTTTTCATTTAAAAATGAAAGGTATTTTTAAATAAATTTTACCTCCAATAAAATAGTTATTTTTTAACTAACCTTATTTTTTTATATTTATCCCTATTAAATACCCTATAATAAATATAAAATTATTATAAATAAGGACACTTTTAAGAAAAAAGAAATGATTACATCTCAAAAGATTAAAAATACCTTACATTTTTAACATCCAACTCCTCAAAAAATACTTTACATTTTTGAATGGAGGAAATAAATGTTATTTTTGAATATTGTCACAAAATTATAAGGAATAGAAAAATATAACAGAATACACATATATAAGTGGTATCAGAGCTAATTTTTATCCAAAATCTAAAAGCTCATATTACGTACATGTTTGGGTATCAAAATAGGACTAGCAATAATTACAATAGGGATTTGTGTGCGCCATGCCATTTGAAGTCTAAAATAAAGCTGACTTCAATTGTAGGAAAATGGACTTTAAAGTTTATGACATTAATAAGCCACTAATCACATGCAGTAGACAAAATAGGAAGATATGTAATTAATTTTAGATTTCTTAAATCTATTATTCTATTTTACTATTTTTTTATTATATTTTATTAATTCAATTTATTATTCCCCAACTTTAAGAGTTAGCGGAACCTCATTCCTAATTTTTAAGGAGAGTTATTGATTTGAATAAGTATTTACAATCAATTATGAGTCAATTGACCATTAAGTCCTAAGTTTAAGAAAGTGGGTAGATTTTTTAGAGTCATATAATTATTGCTCAATCTATTTAATTAGTTTACTTGTTTATAGAGAGCACATTTAAAATTAATCAAAGTCTCTTTCAATCTCTAGAGATTTTCCTTGACTTGGTTATTATTTTTCTTAAGAGAATGACAATTAGGTCTCGAAAGAATGAATTCATGATAGCTAGGTCCTCAACAAAATTTTTTAAAAAATGAATTATAAATATCAATTCAAACAATTACAAACAAAATTTCTATTACAATATAAAAATTACATTTGATATTTAAATATTTATTAATAAATGAAACTCTTGGATTTGTAATAATTTGGATTAATATTTTCAACTTATTTTTCAAAAAAAAATTATTAAGGACTTAATTGATATTAATTCAACATTTTGGAACCTAACTGTCATTTCTCTATTTTTCTTTGAGTAAGATACTTTCTTAAAGAGAGTTAGTAGATGATTTACTCTAATTATCCTTAACCCTACTAGACGTCCTTTGATACGATGGGCTTGTGAACTCACTCATATTTGAGGGGAAGATTAGTAGGTTATTTGAATATGAGTAGACTTGAGTTAATATAAGAAGTTTCATATCGAATAAAGCAGATCTTAAATAATATGAAAATAAAAGAGAAGAACTCAAAAATTTAAGTTTTGGAATTTTAAATTAAGATGTGGTATTATTTTTTATTATTCTTTGCTCATTTGTTCTCTTTTCTTGTTTTAGGGCAATCTTCCCTCATTCTTAAAAAGTGGTATTAGAGCGAGTCTAGTTTTGTCCAAAATCTTAAAACTTATTCTAGCGATATTTCCTTCCTTCACTTGACAAATTTAAGTTAAATAATATAAGTCATTAAAGAGTGAAATGCAAAGCCAACTTAAAATGAAAATAAAGCTAGGTAAAGATCAAGAACCATAACAAACTCAAACTATTCAAGTCATCATCCTATTTATTATTTTAAACTTATATATTAACATAAAACATCATATTAACCCAATACTTTTGTAAATGATACAATAAGTTAATTACTTATGTGGGTTTATCTTGCCTTGCATGCAATGAAGAGTTTCTTCCCATAAATGAAATCAAAAGCATCTTATTGTTCTTAATAAAAAGGCTAAGTATAAAGTACTAGTGAGTAAAATCATGTATTTGGATTTATTGCTATTTGACATAAACAACTATCTTATAAACATTAACAAGCTAGAAGATGGAGATGATGTTGTTCAATTGTAGTGTGATTAGATCTTTCAATTCTATTGCATTCTTACATGGGTAAAAGAAGACATGTGTCTAATTTGCAATATAGCTAAGCTTCACTTTCAAGTATCAATCTTTATTTCTTGTTTTTCTTGTTTTTGGGTTAAAGCTTGTAATGTTTTGCAATGAAAAAATCTCTTTTATAGTTTTAAAAATATTCATTTTTTGTAAGTATATTTTCTCTTTCTGTATGCCATTGGTGATGTAAATGTTCTCATTTTGTCAAGAACTTTAAATTATCAAAGTTGTATGTTTCATCATCTTTTTTTCTTATTTTAAAATATTTTAGTTATTATTGACAAGGACAACATGACTATATGTATTGATGAAATTCTTAACTAGTAGCTCATTTGTTCTCTTCTTTTGTTGTTAGGCGAATACTCTCATTCTTAAGAAGTGGTATCAGCTAGTATTACACAACATCAAGTTGAATTACTTGTGCACATGAAAGCAACATGCCAATCACACTTCACACAATAACAAAAAAGTTAGAAAAAAAAACACACACACACAGATGAAACTAATACATGCTTAACTAGTTTTTGATTAATCTTAAAACACTTAGTATGATGATATAACAAAGTTGGAATGGCTTTCAAATATGATGGAAGAATCATTTTCGAGTGAGGACTTACACTTGATATCAGGGTGAAAGCTCCAAACAACATTGAAGTTTTCAAAACTCATGAATTCCTAACCAAAACAAACCAAAGCATAAACAACCCTATATTTAACTCTGCAGTCTTTACTCCGGTCAAGACTTGTAGCATGCACTCATGTGGCTCTACATGCAACTAGACTTCTCGCCTCCTCCTCCTTTCTTTTTCTTCATCTTCGTCACCATCTCCATCCTCCACGTCACCTTTCTCAGACCTTGACACTGTCCTTTCCACCATGAAGAAACAAAAAGAGGCTACACTAAGGAGGAAGAATAGTAGTGACAAGGGGCGCAAGTGCGTATATTTTGCTATAGATAAGACACCACAATAATAAACAGGACTTATGGGTCCCAAGATACTTTACAATGTCTACAAGATAAAGTACAAGTCAAGTTGGCTAGTGTCATAAATAGTAGCCAATAACTAGTTTGCGTTCATGCTGAGAAAGCATTTGAACTCACAGCAGCAAATGATAGATCTAAGTGTAATTTGAAATTTGAATATAAAGACAATAATGTCCCTATTAAACATATATACATTACATCAGTTAAATAATTTACATCTATTTTATCAGTAATTTATAATTATAACTTCAATTTTTTACAACTATAGTTTCATATATATAATAAATAGACTAATTAGTTTAATTATTGAATATGTGAAGTTACAGTTATAAAAAATTAAAATTATAATTGTAAATTATTAAATGAAATAGATGTAAATAATTAGTATTAAACTTTATTGGTAATGCATAAATGTTTAACTATTGAATATGTGAAGTTATAGTTGTAAAAAAGTTAAAATTATAAGTGTAAATTAATTATTTGCTTTATATAATATATATTTAATAAGAGTATTATTATCTTTGCAGCCTAATTTTAAATTATACTTATCTCCTAAGGGACTTGACTGTGGTTTTCACATTTTATGTGACTTATTTATAAATAAATCTGCTCCATTAGCCCTATATGTAATTTTCCCTTAATTTTAAACTAGTGTTATTTAAATAGAAGTTGGAGAAAGAGAAAGATAGAGAAAAACAAGTATATGAAGATAATTAATTAATTAGTTAATTAATTAATTAGATCCTATACACTAACTTTCAAGAAATATGAAAACTATTTTCTTCAAGTAAAAAAATTATTTTCTTTCCCATTTCAATGCTTTTTTTTTTTTATCTCTACTAGGTACCTTAGCAAATTCAAGTTCTATGTCATAGGTACAAGCTGAATGGTAAAGTTGTTAATAAGAGTTAACTAAACTCTTATAGACCTGGTCTTTAAGAGCAAGCCCATAAGTGCTCTTACATTAAAATTAGCACTTTTATCCAACTTAGTTTTTATTGACAAGGCTTAAGGTCAAGCTTGAAAACTCACATAACTTTTATTTCTAAATAAAATTTTTTATTATCATCAATCTTTATTTAAAAATAAAACATCAAAACCCTTCATAGGGAGGTTTATATTTGGAGGAGATGACGCTATTTCAAAAGGCTCACAAACTACATATTCATCACCTAGAATAAATAATTAGCAAATTGTGTTATTTTCATATATTAATTCAAAACTTTAAGTAAATTATACAAATAAAGTTAAAAAAAAATTTACAAGGGCTTAAGGGCTAGCCTAACCTCAAAAAATACAAGGTTTAAAAGAGCAGCCGGCCACACTCAACCTTATCGATGACTCTACTGAATGGTATTAGATAATGTGAGATCCTTCAAAAAATATCAAAATAACATTCAAGGTGTATACATATAACATTGAATTAATATGAGGTTTGAGAAGTATTTCATGATATTTTTGGACTTATTTTTACATCAAAGTCTCTTAATCAAATTCAATTAACCTTTGGCAATATCACAGAAGAAAATCCTGGAGTATATATAGAGATTATTGGGAATCTTGGAATTTTTAAATTCTTCATAGAGATATAATAAATAATGAGTCATTGTAAGAAGTAATGGGAAGAATTAACTTTCACACGAGTTGTGTAGAGAATAACAACAAACAAATCTTATCTCATTAGGTATATTCAGTTACATGGATTATTGCATCACGTCACTTTGCTTTATATCGATAACCAAATCTCTGGAACAAATTTCTAGAGAAGAGAGTATAAGAAAAATCATGCTTGGCAACTCCTATTTGCACACGCTAGCATCTGCGCACCATTGACAATACACATGCTCACACATACAAGATCTATAAAATTTTGGAAATTATGAACAATGCAACTTACTTGTTAAATCCACACAAAGTATATGGAAATTACAATCTAGTTTCTAAGACAAAAGGCTTAGATCGGTAAACTCAATTTAAGCTGCATCATTATTGAAAGTTGCATGGCATCAAGTTAGTTAGTAAAGGATATATAAGACGATTCTGCCCATTTAGAAACCACCCCGGCTAAATATATTCTTAATATATATGCATTTCATGCCTGTGCAATACATTAACTAAATCCAGACGTTAATTTCAGTCATTCATATGTACGCGTGTGTGTTATCCTGTGTGACTAATTTCACTTTACTAAATCCTAACTTCTGTTGGACAAATCTGCAAGTAATAAAAAGATATAACAAGAATTAAAAAACAAGGGTATAAGGAAGAAAAAGATCTGATACATACTGATACACACACACACACTCTTTTCATAATATGAGACACTTAAAATTGCGAGAAAACATATTATTCTGCAACAAGAAGTTCAATTTCACATGGAACAAAAACACCCCAGTAGTATATATGTTTAATGCATAACGTTTAGATGTCTCTGAAACGAATCAGAGATAGATTCATGCATAAACATTGCACTCACTTTTAGAATGAGTACTCTTTAATTTGTGTTAATGTATCTAGACCAGTCCCATGGATTCACCATACAAGAGTATCTTTCTTTTTTATTGTTTTTTAAACTAAATTCATAGATAGCAAGATATTTGATGGTACAGAATAGGGTACCATACATAGACCAGTCCAAAAGATACCTCCAGAAACCAATAAACCAGAGACTTTAATTAGAAATAAAATCCTGAAAAATTGGTACACATTGATATATGTTTCCGGCCGGCCATTTCTCATTACCTTCGCAGAACCACACGCACGTTGTCTCCTTTCTTTTTGTATAATGTAAGATTCTCACATAGATCTTAGTGAAGAAGCAAGCTAAGCCAAGAAGAGAAAGAGAATCATTATTAATATTATTATTATTAATATGTGATTGTTTACAGAGAAATCACATGGACACTTGCATGGTGGTGCCGTAGCAAAGTGAGACAAATGGGGTAAGAAGAAGAAGGCAACAGCAGAGATGAGAGAGACCAGGTGACAGAAAATTAAGTCATGGGCTTACACATGTTAGTGGTAGAGGAAGCAATGCTTCATGTCATCTACATCTCTGTAAGGGTTTCCATGTGCAGAAGAATCAACATATTTATATATATATATATATATATATAGATGGCAAGGCCAGCTATGTTGATGTGTTTTTTTAAGGTGGTGAAAGGCTTTGAATCAGAGGGCATGAGAGGGTGTTTGATGTTGGCATGTCTCTAGGGTCTTCCTCTTCTATCATATGTTAATGTGTTTATTATATATTTGTGTGTGTGTGTATGGCATGCAGATTTTGGTCAAAAAAAGTTGGTTTTTGGATACACAAAACTAAATAAATAAATAGATCTCGTAAGGTCACGGACAAATTCTTCTATCACACTGATTAGCGACATTTTTTTTTTTTGGTGTTTCCATGTCAACTTTGTACAGTTATATATATAGAGAAAGGGGATAGCGAATTAAACGATATATATATATATATATATATATCCTAGCTCCTTTGCATGCTCAAGTGACCATGTCCATATAGATCAATTTTTTTCGCATTTGATATATATGTTACAATAAGTTTTTTTTTTCTCCAGCTGAATAACTGTCTATTAAATAAAATATTATGATTTTACTTCGAATAAATTGCAAAAGATTCAGTATTGTTGAGTCAGTTTCAAGAGACTCGTACTTCTAAGATTGAGAGTTTGAGCTTTAATTTTAAGGTTAAAAAAAATCATACTTTAAGAACTACTTCTATTCGAATCTAATAATGTTTGAGTTTGTGTTAATTAATAGTAACATATTAAATAGGTACTTAAAAATTGCATAGACATCACTTTTTTTAATTTATTTTGTTGAAAAATATCTTCTATGAATCTAAATATGTGTTATTTTTTGTGAAAATTAATTAATCAAAATAAAATCTAAGTTTTATTACAATCCGTACCCCAACAATGGAGGAAAATAAAGAAAAGAACTTGCTGCAAATGAGCCTGATTGTGTATTAAGTTTTATATATATATATATATATATATAGAGAGAGAGAGAGAGAGAGAGAGGTAGACAGGTAAGATTGATATGCTTGTGTCTGAGCTAACATGGGCAGTGTTTGTATGGTCCATCCAATCACAGTACATCGTAGTGGGGATTAAGAATAGTGATGATGATTAACCAGGAAAGTTCGCTCCTTAGATTTTATACATAGCTACCCAAACACAAATTGAGTTCTATTTTTGTAATATATTTTTTAAGAAATTGTAACGTTATATTCTTACCGGCCCTATGGTTCATATATGTAACATCGCTTAAATCAATGTACTGCAATGCATGACCCATCATTAAAAATTATTTCTCTGACTGTCTCCATATTCTAGACTCATTTATACCACATTTTCATTCATATTAGAATTTAGTATGTAATGAAATTTGTCACATTAATTGTTGTTAATTAGATAGTAGTGAATTAAAAGAGTATTGAAAATATAATTAATCACATGACGGGTTTGTTTTCTGCTATAATAACTAATTATCTAAAATGCAGTCTAAAAACAATACATTTAATTATTTATATATATATACATATATAATTGCTTTTGTAAATCTCCAGGAAAAAGCTCACCTAAAAAATCTATAAATATGTTCAACAAACATAAGATTACGAAATCTATTAAAATATACACCTTATTTTGTTTCTTTTTTGCCATCACCTTCATACGATAGATCGACTCTGCCTTTCCTTTTCCAAATTCTCACTCTCTTTCCTTTTTTTTTTAAAAAAAAAAAGCATGAAAGAACATAACGACATTATTTATAATTACCCTGGGCAACAATATGTGGCCATGCATGTTCATGACCCAATAATTAATAAATCATTTTGATTATTGGATTGTCTATTATCATATTATTTTCAGTGCGCAGAGCCAGTTGGAATAACACATGACCCACCATTGTCCACGCACACCTTCCTTGATTCCTCCTATATATAACTTTCCCATGTAAACACACAAATCTCACCCCAAGCAATACAATTCATCGTCACTTTCATTCAAAACTCAAACCAAAAGCCTTGTTCTTAACGTTCAAAGCATCCTTAAATTCTCCGACATCAATGGCTTTCTGGTCTGCAGAAAACGCCACCAAGGCCTATCTCACTACTGTGAAAATGGTAAGCACACACATATTCATATACATGTATTTCTATCAAACACTTGTCTTTCTCTATCAAAATAGTTTTGTTAAGCGAATTTGATAGGACTTGCCTTTTAAAGTTATATACATTCTAATAGTTTTTGTATTATCTCTCAGGGACAAAGAGCCAACGAACCAGACGTCGCCGAGTTCATATCAGCACTAGCCGCCGGCAACAACGCGCAACTAATGGTGGTGGTGGCGGTGGCGGTGGACGGCGGTGCGGCGGGATCCACCACGCAGGCCTTGTTGGCGGCGAGCCACCAAACCGGAGGTCGTGTGGTCTGCATAGTTCGCAACCTGGAACATCTAAACGCTTCTGAGAAATCTTTATTGGGCATCTCATCAGATTTACGACAAGTTGAGTTCGTGATCGGAGAGCCTCAAGAACTGTTAACGACCCAATACGACGGCGCAGATTTCGTACTCGTGGACTGTAAGCTGGAGAACCACGAGGAGGTTCTGAGAGCTGTGGAGAGAGTGAGTGTTAGGAAGCAAAACGGCACTGTCGTTGTGGGATACAACGCGTTCAGGAGCAGAGGGTCGTTTGGGTCCAAAACACAGTTTCTTCCCATAGGAGAAGGCCTGTTGGTGACTAAATTTGCAGGGAGAAATAATAATGAAAGGAAGTGTGATAGTAATAGTAATAATAATATAATGGGGAAGGTGATGAGAAGAAGTAGGTGGATTGTGAAGGTGGATAAATGCACTGGGGAAGAACATGTATTTAGGGTTAGGTTTCCACAAAAGCAAAGTCATTCATGCTTAGCTTAATTGATTTCATTTTCATTAAATTAGGGTTTTTGGTCCATTAATTATTTAGGGGATAGAGTTCTGATCTGAGTAGCTTCGCTTTTGTGATGAGAGAAACATCTGGAAGCTGCTCCTTTTTCTCAACATGTACATATATATATATATATATATATAGCAATAGGTATATAAAATATTGGTGTATTGAATATTTTGGATATGATCATGAAGCAAGTTCAAGTATTATCTTTGATTTTGTAATCCATGGGGTTAATTAGATTAGTATGTCTATGGTACGAAAATAATTCCCATGCTAAAACCTAAGGAATAATTATTAATACAGCAAGAATTTAAACCATACATCTCAAATTAAAGTTCGGCCTTTAATTTGAGCTAGAAACTTGTCTTGTCCTTTAGAATTTAATTCACCTTAAAATTTTGTATGTAAACTTTAGGGGGGAAATTATAATTTTTGTTTGGCTTATGGATGGGGAAAAAACTCAAAGTCAAAAGATGTGTTAGAGAGCTTTAATTTTTATCTTTAGTTCTCTGTTAATGTAATCAATCAAATTAGTCAACTCAAACATGTTTCTTAATGGGGGAAATTAGATATATTTAGACTTATATGCTTAAAATGCTTGTTTTCAATGAAATCAAAAAACACAGATCTTTTACAGATTATTTATTCCATAATAAATTGTTGTTGTTAATATTATTAACATATTAATTAAAGTCTACTTGTTTTGATCAGATTGATTAAAAAATGTATTAAGTATATAAAATTACGTGCATAAGTCTTGCCTTTCTGAAGTATAAACTGTGGTTCTTACTAATTAATCATCCCAATAATCTAGGGCCTATTTGGATATTCCCTATTATCAATTATAACGTCCAAAACCATGGTTTTGGAAAAAAAATCATCCAAACACTCCAAATTTTCTCAAACTCCATTTGGTTTTTGGAATTCTATTTCGTTGAAGCTAACCAGACAATCACAATTTTTCCAAATTTCATGTTTCCTCAATTTGATAAATTGATTTTGCAAAATCAACTTTAAAAAATCTTATCCTCCAAATATCACCACGTTTTATTAATCATTTTTCTCTCAATCAATTTTTCTCAATTGAAATCCAAACATACACCTAGTGATGAAATATATGTGCCACTGATCGCTTGCCAGAAAAGAGGGGGGAGAAATTTTTATAATAGATTAGGTACATCATATCATTTGTGGTATGTTCAATAAAAATATAACATTTAAATAGCATTAAATTAATTTTTACATCAACGATAATAGAGAGAGAAAATGCAAAAAATTAAATATACATTCTATTATAAGAATAAAATTAATTAAAATAATATGAATCATTACCTTTTTTTTTAAAGTGCCCATATTAAATAAATCACTTTATATTTATTTTAGAATGAAACATCCTATTAAATAGAAGTAAATATAAAAAGATAAGTTTAGTTTAAAAATAAGTAACTACTTTATTGGGGTGAGATTCAGTTAAAAATGTCTTACATTTTTTAACAGAAAGAGCAATATTTTATTTAGATAATTATTTCTTGTGGGGGAAAAAACAGGATCAATACTGATCATATGTATTTGGGATTCAAATGCTGAATTAATGAGATACTAAGGAAAGGGATGCCTGATTCCATCGGTAAGAAATTTGTACCATCTTAGCCAAATGTCTCGAGATCAAGCCCTAAAAATGCAATAGCGATATTGATAGAGCTTCTGTCCAAAAAAGTATAATCCCATCTTGATCTGAATTAATCTGGGTAAGGCAGGCCTGAAAACTTTTCCATAGGATTCCAAGTGGGATATAGTATATGAGTGAAAAAGCTGTGTGGAACAGTGAGAAGAAAGAAAAGGAGGCACGTGAAGAGAACAACCAAACAAGGTAAGACTGAGGAGTAAGGTACAGACACCAGGCTGTAATGCAATTAAAATTAATAATGAAGAAACACTACTCGTACGTGAGGTCCAAGGCTTCTTGTTTAGTTCCTGAAAATGAAACCTCCATTATTATTGTTATTCAACTTATACATGGCTTCCTCTGGTTTTGTTCCGAGGATGTACACCAAGCCCTTCAATACAACGCTGCTACCTCAGAATTTATATAATATATATATATATATATATATATAATGCTAATACTAAAAAGTAATGATAAAGACCAAATTAACGAACAAGAATTTAGTTCAACTGACAAGAAAATTGTTCCCTAACATAATCAAAAGTTTCAAATTCGAATTTTAAGAATATAACAACATTTGGTGATAAAGCTTTCACTTGAAAGGGGCCTAGCCCAGCTCAATCCAAATAAGTTTGAGTCGTTGGCTTTCAGACACCGGATGATTTATTAAAAAAATGATAAAGACCAGATTAATAATGGCATACACAGGCATACACAGCAAGTAGAGAGCGAGGTAGTTGGGTGCGTACACACACACACACATTATGTAAAGGGAATCAATCACAGTCATGAGTACTGGCACTAACATGTGAGACTGAGTGGTCTTGTTCAAAATTATATCAAGTTGGTTGATCGGATCGGATCACTTTGCATTTTCAGTTTTGGTTTTCAAGATTAGAGTAATAAATCCGGTGTGGTCCTACTTATGGGATGACTCATCAGGACCACTTAGCTATCTAATCATTAGTGGTTTTTATATGAACTAAATGACGCGGATTGGTTGGTTGTGGACTTGTTATTGTTTGGAGGTCATGTATATCTATATATGCTGAATTAATTATTTTGATAGTATTTATGGGAGGAATCAGGACCACATAAATGTATACTATTAGGTGACACAAGACTATAACTTAGTGATAATTTCTCCATCTAATGATGCTATTTAATTTTGACACCTTTTTATAATAGAACCATGAAAATTGCCACGATGAAGGTCGCAGCACCATTATTAAAGTTTCAGGTTTAGACTAAGGCCATGGCACAACGCAATTTTCAGAAACTTATTACCAAAATGTTGTGTTTTAATCTGACATTTTGAAACTAGAAAACGCATTTGGGAGTCCTTGGAGAGCTTGAATTTACTTTGGGAGTGAAGATTGAAGCTTGAAGTAGAGTTTTGCAAGAGATTAGTGTGATAGTATGTTGGTTTTTTATTTTGTAAATACTTTTGAAAATGTAGTATTTTGGTATAAATAAAATTCTTTCCTATACCATGATGGTGAATTTGCCGATAAATTATGTGATAACTTGAAACTTCTAGTAAGAAGTGAATGGTCTTGCTGTTGGGATAGATGTATGCTTACCAACCTCATATTCAATTTAGGGTTTAAAATGAAATTTTGAGCTAATTAACTTATTAAAAGATTAAGGAATTGATTAGCTTAATTAACGCCTATTTGAGAACTTGGAGCTCTAACATAAACATGCATTCAAAACAAGTATTGAAGAGGGTTAATTAATGGGATGGTTGAAATATTAAGGGAAAATAGCAATCCTAAGCCTGTTGCGTTTTAAGGTTCTTATAATCTAATACCATTTTATAAACAAAAAAATTTAGATGAGTTAGATATTGAGGGCTCATCAAAGCTAAAACATGCCTCCATATTCAAAAAGTATTTATAGAAATATTTTTAGATTGCTCACCAATAAAGTATTCATATTGGGAAGAGGATTTCATTGACAATTATTGAACACTCACCAACAAGGTTTTCACATCAACAATAGGATTTGATCCCATTATCTTATATTATATTATGGACCAAATTCTTACTAATCAACTAGATCAACCTTTGTTAGTTTAACCAAATACTTTTGCTCTTATGTTTCACTCCTGTTTATATCAAATGCTCAAATACTAGAAATTTTCATGGTTACTTATACATTTTAACTTTAATTTTCAGCCTAGTTGAAAGTAATTAATTTAATTTGAGCTACTTTTTAACCAAAACCTTGTGGGACGATACTTAATTTTCTTAATTCTATACTTTTTGTTGCTACTCGTGCATTTATGGTAATGTTTGGTGGCGAACACTTAGTCAATGTCTTGTTTAGAGTAAAAGAATAATGGGCAATGATACGTGATAAGAAAAAGAATAATTTAGTGATAATTAGATCAAAAAAAATTATAACAATAGGTTGTAGATATCGATTGAAATGTTATTTTGTTGTCTTTAATTATTTATTATCTTTCGTAGTAGAGATGAAAAAATGATGAAAGGATGGGACAAGAAACGTTCATTGAACTCTTGTCGTTTCTTCTTTCAGTTTCTTTTTTTTCTTTCTGTTTTTTGATAGTTATATATGAAAAGTATGATAAAAAAAGATACTAGCAATTATGATAGTCTTATGTAAATTTTTAAGAGTGACTTATAAGATTTGAATGCCTAATTTATAATAATACTCTCATATTAATAATTTTTAGAATTGATATTTACAACTCATTTTTTAATATATTAGTTTAAAATTTAATTAATATTAATTAATATTTTAAGATCTTAGTACAAAACAGTTGAAATGGATGAGAGATGTTCTGGCCCCAAAAAAGCAAAAAATATGGATGGGAGATGTAAACGCAATCTGACAATCACATTTTCTAATGGACATGTTAGATAAAAGCCTATTTAATTTGGCACTTTAATTAATGGTCAGAAACCCAAACCAACAAAAAAAAAACAACAAAACACGCACATGCACATTAATTCCTAATGAGGTCCTATTAATTAATTTCATAATATTGAAAAATTATTTAACATTAGTTAAATGTCATAAATTTTTATAACTTTTCAAATTTACCTGTTGAGTGATATAAATTTATAATTCGCTAAAAAGATAAAAGGGAGAATGAAATTTCCCTCTTAAAAAAATTTATCATAATAAAGATTCATTAATTTTGCATTGAATATTATTTTGTAAAAATATGTATATGTTGTTGTTAAAAGTTGAAAATTAACTTATAAAATCTTAAAAAAAAACCTAACAAAAAGTATAATTTAAGGTTCAGCTTTTAATAAAACATATACTTGTTTTCACAAATCAATATCCAATACTAAACTGATGAGTCATTATTATGACAAATTTCCATAATAAGGTCTTAAATGTCATTCTCCCAAGATGAAAGGTGAATGGAAAATTCATTATTTAAACTAAAAATAGAAGTTAGGCCAAAAAAAACTAAAAATAAAAGAAATAAGGGTTTTTTTTTTAAGATGAGTAATAAATGTTTCATTAAAGTTTAGAGAATATTTTATGTTAAAGACTAATGCACTGTAGTAAAGAGTGGAAAGAGTACAACGGAGAAGCATCTCTAATCCAAGGGAGAAACAGAGACTTAAAGCAAAGAATTTCTGAGATTGGTGAAATTGAATAGAGAGTACAAATATTTAATAAAGAAAAAAAAATGCAAAACTATTACTTTGTGTTTAACTTCATCAACTTCAGATTTAAAAGTTTTAGGCTTTAACAATCCACCATCTTACTGTGAAAATTTGAATTTCAATCCAGTGAAAATTGTAACAATACGGAGCCACCCCTTGGGCCTCGACTCGGTACTGGACTCTGGCCCATCACTGGACCAAAGCCGACTTTCCCACAGGTGGTACTGTGGTTATTCCTCACCACTGCCTCTCCAGGGTCTTTTGGAACCTCCCCAGACTCGAACCTCCAACCTCTACCACCTTAACAAAGTTGAGGCTAAGTCTGGTACCATTGGGTCACTTGACTCAATGGTACCAGACTTAGCCTCAACTTTGTTAAGGTGGTAGAGGTTGGAGGTTCGAGTCTGGGGAGGTTCCAAAAGACCCTGGAGAGGCAGTGGTGAGGAATAACCACAGTACCACCTGTGGGAAAGTCGGCTTTGGTCCAGTGATGGGCCAGAGTCCAGTACCGAGTCGAGGCCCAAGGGGTGGCTCCGTACTGTTACATAAAAGGCGCCTTTTATGTAACAGCCCTCCTGGGTCACCACTGCCTCTCCAGGGTCTTTTCCCAGGCGCTGGACAACACACATGTCACCACATGATTGCCGGCTTTCCCACTGGTGGTACAGCGGTTATTCCTCACCCCACCCTCACGGGGGTCTTTTGGAACCTCCCCAGACTCGAACCTCCAACCTCTACCACCTTAACAAAGTTGAGGCTAAGTCTGGTACCATTGAGTCAACTTGACTCAATGGTACCAGACTTAGCCTCAACTTTGTTAAGGTGGTAGAGGTTGGAGGTTCGAGTCTGGGGAGGTTCCAAAAGACCCTGGAGAGGCAGTGGTGAGGAATAACCACAGTACCACCTGTGGGAAAGCCGGCTTTGGTCCAGTGATGGGCCAGAGTCCAGTACCGAGTCGAGGCCCAAGGGGTGGCTCCGTACTGTTACATAAAAGGCGCCTTTTATGTAACAGCCCTCCTGGGTCACCACTGCCTCTCCAGGGTCTTTTCCCAGGCGCTGGACAACACACATGTCACCACATGATTGCCGGCTTTCCCACTGGTGGTACAGTGGTTATTCCTCACCCCACCCTCACGGGGGTCTTTTGGAACCTCCCCAGACTCGAACCTCCAACCTCTACCACCTTAACAAAGTTGAGGCTAAGTCTGGTACCATTGAGTTGACTCAATGGTACCAGACTTAGCCTCAACTTTGTTAAGGTGGTAGAGGTTGGAGGTTCGAGTCTGGGGAGGTTCCAAAAGACCCCCGTGAGGGTGGGGTGAGGAATAACCACTGTACCACCAGTGGGAAAGCCGGCAATCATGTGGTGACATGTGTGTTGTCCAGCGCCTGGGAAAGGACCCTGGAGAGGCAGTGGTGACCCAGGAGGGCTATTACATAAAAGGCGCCTTTTATGTAACAGTACGGAGCCACCCCTTGGGCCTCGACTCGGTACTGGACTCTGGCCCATCACTGGACCAAAGCCGACTTTCCCACAGGTGGTACTGTGGTTATTCCTCACCACTGCCTCTCCAGGGTCTTTTGGAACCTCCCCAGACTCGAACCTCCAACCTCTACCACCTTAACAAAGTTGAGGCTAAGTCTGGTACCATTGAGTCAAGTTGACTCAATGGTACCAGACTTAGCCTCAACTTTGTTAAGGTGGTAGAGGTTGGAGGTTCGAGTCTGGGGAGGTTCCAAAAGACCCTGGAGAGGCAGTGGTGAGGAATAACCACAGTACCACCTGTGGGAAAGTCGGCTTTAGTCCAGTGATGGGCCAGAGTCCAGTACCGAGTCGAGGCCCAAGGGGTGGCTCCGTACTGTTACAAAAATGATCATTCCTAAAGTTTCATGAAATAAAGGGGAAGTATATTAATAATACTATGTGTTAATGTTATAGATAAATTGTGTCCTTTATATTTATGAAGAAAAGTAAAGCACAAAGTACTCCCTTCATTCTAATTTATAAAACATTTTTAGGGAGATTATCAACATCTTAAAATATAAAAAAATTTGATAAAAATAAACTTTTATTAATAATATTTTTTTAATATTATTCTTCTTTTTATATTTTCTCTTTTTAATAATTTTTTGTAAATGGAGTGTTAAATTGAGGGCATTTTTGTAAATTTTTATTTTTATTTTAAAAAAATAAAACAGCAAATGTATTTAATAATTTTTATTGTTATAAATAATTTTACTTAAAAATGTTTTATAAATTAGAATTAAAAGAGTTCACTTGATCCAAACAATTTCTAATCAAGATCCCAAGACCAACTTGTGAACAATTAAAAATAAAAGTTATCATGCCAACAAGAGTTAAGTATAATATAAAAGGATACTCTTTTATAATGTGATAAATTAAAATTAAATATCTAAAAATAAAAATATTTATATTTAATATTCAATCGTGTCTTAAAAAAATACTTTTAATAAAAAAATTAATGTGTAATATTAAAAAAAAAATGAAAGTTGCCATCATTAGAAATTTTAAAATAACTTCAGATTTATAATTTAGTAAATATTTCAATCATTAATATCATTGCAGTTGACTATTTTCTGAACTCTGAACACACCAGAATGTGTTTTGGTATGTGATGTCATTCATGGATTCTAGTGTTAACTGGGTCCGCATTTCTTTTTATTTTTTTTTTAATTTGAGATTCCAGATCTAATTGAATATGTACAAAAGCATGATTCAAAATTCCAATTATGTTACAATCAACACGTGATTATGTGAAGTAAAGTTATTAAATTTTGGAGGCATTACTTAGAAGGTAGAACCCCCTAAATTATGTACTCATTTTATACTACAACACTTTTTTAATAACAACCCAATTAAAACCTCACAAATAATAAAGATATTACGTAAATCAATATATGTATTAGAAGTGGAAAAAAATTATCTAGTTAAAACTAGTATCTAAAAATGAAATAATTGTCATGTGATAATATCTATTGTGTATTTGTGTGTAAAGAGCATCACATGACCTAATGGTAGATTTTCAAATTTGAGAAATCACCACTCATGAATACAATATTAATTTTAAGTGAATAAATAATCATTTTCAGTCCTAAGGGGAAAAAAACACAAATAATCAATCACAAATTTTGATTACTAGCAAACCTGAATAGACCACCAAAGATGTAGATCAACTAGAAAGAGGTTATTCCAGTTCAATCAATAATTTCAATTTTGAATCCGAAGAATGAAACAACATTAAAACGCAATGATAAAGCTTACCGTTTGAAAGGGCCTGTTAAAACTCAACCCAAATTAATCTAGAAGTTCAACTTTTGGGACTAGCCCAAAACATTCGCTACAAGCACAAGCAATCAGGTAAAAAATAGCAAACTACCCAATGAGTGTGACACAAATAATGAGTCTGGCCACTCAAATATCATTATAGAATTTGATTTTTAAATATGTGTATGGAGAGTATCATTTGAAAGAGAACAACTTGTTAAATAACACTCAGATTTCTCGAGATTAATTTCACCGCTGCTAATTATAAGAATACCTTGAGAACCAAAACAAAACAAAAAAAAAGGTGCGAACTATAGATTGAAAACTGAAAGAGGCATTCACCTTAGAAAAAATATTCAACAAAATTACAGGTGACTAGAGAACAAGAAGCTACTTAAAACCCTTCTCTGATAAGCTTACAAGTTACAACATACCCTCCTACACAGATCAACATGAAAGCTTGTTCGTGGTGACCAGACCCATGTTGACGTCAAAATGGTCAACCACCATTAGCAGTTAGTGACAGTTAAAGTTAACCCAAATCACAGACAGCTACTACAATTGCTCAGTTCTTGAACAATGGCTTCCATGGATGGCCTCTCAAAAGGAGACTCGTGTGAACAAACCAGACCCATCTTCAACAGCTTAGCTGCCTCGAATTCGAAGAACTTGCCATGAAGATTCGGGTCCATAACTTCCAGGAACCTCGAAGATTCTGCCAAGAGGCGCATTGTGCTCGTGATCTTCTGCTTCCCTGAGAGGATCTGCAAAACCACCAATCCAAAAGCATACACGTCACTTTTCTCGGTGAACCGGCCGGTGGTGGTGTACTCCGGAGCTAGATAGCCCTTCGCCGCGCTGGCCTTGAGTGCCGAGAAGACGATGTCATTGGTGAGGACCTTGCAGAGACCAGAATCCAAAAGCAATGGATTGAATCGCTGATCAATGAGCACTTTCTCAGCCGAGATGTTTTGGTGAACAAGTGCAGGTTTGTTCGCTTTGTGTGCGTGTAAATATGCAATACCTGTACAGCAGAGACATAAAGATTGAAGAAAAGCATGAGAACGCATCACTTGCTTCATTCAAATTCAGCATCAAAATGATCAGAAATGATATTGAAGTGAGTTCAACATTATGTTACTTAATCACTTTCTATTTTTGTTACCATCTGCTACTGGCTTATATTGGATAGAAAACTGCAGAAATCTCAGAAGAGCAGTGAAAAATCAATGTTGTCAAAACCCAACTGGTCATTAAACCACTCAAGGTGCTAGTTCATTGAACCATGGTCAAACCATGATTAGACCATGGTTGGCCCCCTCTCAATTAAAATAATAAAATTTAAAGATCATGCACGAAAATTTAAGATATTTTAGGCAATATTTAACACCAATGAAAACAAAAGAAAAACCAACCACATGATAATAAAAACAAAAAATAACATAATTTTGGGTAATTGAGAATTTAAAAAAAAAAATGAAAACTGGTTCTTGACCGGTTCATTTCTCCCTCCCCCGATTCTGTACCCTGACCAGACTGGGCCGGGCTAGACCAGTTCCGACAACATCGGTAAAAATTGAAAGCTCAATCTTTCCAATATGGTAAAAAGGAAAGAGAAGGCTTACCTTTAGCAATCCCTTTGACAATGGAAACTCTGGTTGACCATTCAAGGACTTCTCCATCACCTTCCTTGACATCAAGGTAGCGTGACAGATTTCCATTAGGAACAAAATCATAAACCAGAAAGCACTCTCCTCGTCCCCTGGAACAACAAAAACCTCTGAGCCTCACTAGATTCTCATTCCTCAATGATGTCAAAATGTTCAGTCCCTTCAAAAACTCAGCTTCATCTGACTTGCAACTACTTTTGCTGATGCTCTTCACAGCAACTACAGACCCATCCCTCAACACTCCTTTATATGTTGCACTGAAGTTGCTCTTCCCTAACAGATTCGAGTCCGAGAAATACTGAGTTGCCGTTTCGACCTCTTCCAAGTTGAACCGGAAACTTTGGAACATGTCTTGACTGTCTCCGTTGAAGTTCCGGCTATCAGCTAAAGGGTCCCATCCATTGGAATACTCAAGGCTGATCAGAGGAGAGCCATTTTTCCTGTATATGACAGGTTTAGCTTGATCAGTACTTAGGCGGCTATCAGAGACATCATAGGAGTTTCCGAGCTTCTGTTTCCTTCGGCGATAATGAACAAAGGTTAGAATGCCAACTGCTGACACTGCTATAGCAATCACAACTATGCCAACAGTAACAGATGTTGTTGCTGTTTGTTTCGATTTTGATGAGTTTTGGCACTGATTTCCATTGCAGGGAAGCTGAACATTTGCAGTTTCTGGAATGTCCCTCGTTGATGATAGACCATGAACACCAGCTCCAAAGGGTTCAGGCCTGCTTCGATCAACATGATCAGAAGCACTGCAAGTCTTCAAGGATGAAAACCCAGCTCCACACAATCCCAGATTGTATTCATACAAAAATCCATCTTCAAGTCTCTTCAGAGCTTCATTTAACCAATTAAAACCAAATAATAGAATTTAGATTGATTATTTCAGATGAGCAAAGATAAACAAACAAAACTAAGTGCAGTTTCAGTTTTATGCCGATTGCAATCAGGTTTTTCTGATAAAATTACCACACGTGAAAGAACCAATTTTCAAGAGCCACCACCATGTAACTTAGTTGTAAAATAAAGGTGCCAAAAACGGGACCGATCATTGAATCAATCAAAACACTAGTTCAATAGTCAACCAGCAAGGCTGACATGGATTTCAATACTACAATAAAAAATGTTCATGTGCTGCATTTTTATTGGAAAGATTACAATTAAACCGATGAAGGATCTTTAACAAAATCTTCTCTAAAGACAAACTGATAGGAAACATGAAAGAATCAAAGAAATAAAATCTTGTGAATGCAATAGCATCAAGATTACCAGATGGTACATTCCCAGAGAGAGTGTTATTGCGAACATCTAGAACTTGCAGAGAAGAGGCATCGGCTAATTTAGAGGGAATGGAACCGAATAGGCGGTTAGAGCTCAAGTCGAGCCTCATTAAAACTTCCAAGTCGCCTAAACTTGCAGGGATAGCACCAGTTAATTGATTTGACTGCAGAGCGAGAACACTAAGCTTCTTCAAACCACCAAGTTGAGTTGGAATACTTCCCTTCAATTGATTATAACAAAGCTGCAAAACTATGAAGCAATAGGAATGGGGAAAAAATAAGCATGGCCAGAAAAGGTGATAACTTCAATGAATAATGGAGTTCAAAAACTTTGATTACAAGAACAAATACAGTCAATTGAATTCAAAACAAAGCAATTGCTTCATTATATTCAGATTTTCAGTGTTTAGTTTGTAGTAGAAAGCAAAATTTCTGCATGTATCTTCAGGACTTGACTATTTCAGTGAATCCGATCTTCATTTTGCCAAAACAAAAACCAAAAAAAAAAAAGTTTTGATTTGAAGAAAAGCTACAGAATAGTTCAAAATAAACACAAGTGAAAACTTGCTGTTTGCAACCAGACCAGAAAAAGAACATGACTTTTAAAATCGTGTTTGTTTTAGAAGCATTAATTACCATGGTTAGAGGCATTAAGTTATGATCTGTAGTATCAACTGCAATAGTTATCTTGCCTTTTTCTCCTTTCCTTCTATGAACTATACCAATATTTGGAAAATCCCAGAGCAAGAGCTTTAAAGAACCCATCAAAAGTGGATAAAACTAATGAAGTTTGAAAGTCTTCACATGATTAGAAACTTTGATTCAATAAATACCCAAGGCCAGGCTCAAATCTTTCGTGAAACCCAGAAGGAAAAAAAAAATGAAACACTTGAGAACACTTTCACAGAAGAACAAGCTTTCAACAATGACAAAACATTTGAAGGAAGTTCAACGCTCTTCAACAAAAACACAATCTTTTTCTTTTTTTTACCTTGCAAGTTCTCCATTTTGCCGATCTCAAGAGGGATTTCCCCAGTGAAGTGATTGACATTCAAATACAAATCAGTGAGCTCGGCCAAGTTGGCGATTTCTTTGGGTATCTCACCATAGAGAGCGTTATAATGCAAGTATAGGCCAGTCAAGTGCTTAAGGCCATCAATGGCGGACGAGAGCTTCCCTGAGAGGCCCTTCCCCTGCAAGGAAATGTTAGCCACTTGACCCTTCTCGTTGCAAGCCACTCCTTCGAAAGAACCATCACATGGGTTCCCATTAGAAGTCCAAGAAGAAAGATAACGGCTTTCTGGGTCAAGAGCAGCTTTCACGTCCATGAGAACTCTGAGCTCTGCATTCCCACAGACCCAAGTTGGGAGAGACAGAGAGAACAGGAGAGAGGAGAGAAGAAGGGCCGGAAAACCCATTAATGGTTTTGGAATGAAATGGCCAAAGATAGTAACAAGCTCTGGTTTTCAAGTTTCAGAACAGAAAAAACAATTCTGGTTGTGAGATTTTGGTTTCTCTCTCACTCTGTGGTGGGCAAGTAGCAGGGGATGGGAAGTGGAAGTTGCAGAGGTTAGATAGGAAGTAAAGAGCAGAGTCTCATCAAGCGAAGGAACAATATAATGATCATGCAACTTCTGATGGAACGCTGACCGTTGGATTGGTTGAGGTTTTGTGAATGTTTGTGAGGTTTTTGAAGCACTCGAATCGAATTGATGCTTGAATGTTCATAAATTTTGAAAAATTATAACCAATTATGGGGGCAGTTCCTTGACCCTGCGTAACTTTTATAAATTTTTGTGTAACACTTATTTTCATTATGTTTTATTAAAATTAAAAAATTTAAATTTTATTAACTTTATTTTATAATTTAAAAAGTTTTTATATCTATCTATAGCTAATAAGAATAAAAAACTATTTTTAATAATTTTTTTCAACATGTCATAAGGGCAAAAAGGAAAAAATAAGCATAAAAATGAAATATTATAAATTAATTTTTTTCTCTATTATATAAATAGTATTAGAGGAGAGGAGAGAGGAGTATATTAATATTAGAGAAAATATAATTTTAGATCTATACACTATACTTGTATATTATTATTTGTTTCTACACTTTTTTTGTATTTTAAGTTCTTACACTTTTTTTTAGTATTCTAAATCTTTACACTTTATGTATAAAGGAATCTAAAAAATCAAAAATAAAAGTATAAAAATCTAAAATAAAATAAAAAAGTGTATGGAAAAATAACAAAACGTGAGTAAAGTGCAGAGGTCCAAAATTATGTTTTCATTAATATTATCTTATTTCTTTATATTTATCTTTTAAGGTTAGTGTAGACACATTAAAAATATAATAAATATGTAAAAATATGATGTACTAGTGCTTTATTAAAACTTTTCTATATTTAATTTTTTCTAAAAATATTATAATAATAAGTAGTTGAATCTTAAGTTGAATCGAACCAGCTTACTTTGGTTAGAGTATAATTTCAAATTTAAAGAACGCTTATGAAAATATTAACAAATTTCTAACTATTAAAGTCCTTAAAAAATGTTATCAAAAGTTGTTTTGAGATTCTAAAAATACTTATAATTTGTAATAGGAACCAATTTTTCCCTTAAAAAACAAATACTCCCTTTATTTTTATTTATAGAAGAAACTATCACTTTTTATTTTTTTATAACCAAAATAACTATTTCAATAAGCATTTATTACACATTTTTTAAATCATTTCTCATAATTTATATTAATAAAAAAAATTAATGCATACTTATGTTAATTAATATAAGGCATTTTAGTCTAATTTTTTATTTTCAAACATAATTATTATGTTTAACCAACTTTCTTAAATTGTGTGATACAATTTTTTCTCTTATATATAGAAACGGAGGGAGTATAATGCAACTAATTTTCTAATATATAAATAAATATATCAATTTATTTTGAATTTTAACTGAAAATGAAAAATAAAAATATTATATGAATTAATTTAAAACTTTTAATATATTTAATAAAAGATAGTAATGAAAATTACATTTAAGTTTTCAATTATAATTTTCTTATAAGACATAAATTGAATAAGACATAAATTGAAGTTCATAATTTTTTTTCATAAAATTAATTAATATATCTTCCTGTTCATAATTATTTTATTGTTGGATGAAGATAGAAAAAAATTATATGAAAAAAAAATAAATTATAATAATACTATCTTCTTCTAAATTATGGAGTATTTTTGAAGGAGTTTCTCAATTTTAAAATATAAAATACTTTGAATAGATTAAGATTTCATTAAATACGTCAATTTTAATATTATTATTCCTCTCTTTATAATTAATTTCTATTTTTTCTCTTTTTAATATATTAAATAATGAATATTTTTAAAAGTTTATATTTTTATTTTGAAAAGATAAGGTTGTTAAGTGTATGTAATGAGGTTTATTAATATGTAAGATTTTATTTAAAAATATCTTATAATTTAAAATGGAGAGATTAATTAACAAAATCAAATGACAAGTCACGATGGAAAAAATGACAAGTAACGATATCTTATCGAGAATTATATTTTTTAATAAAATAAAATCATCAATATACTGCATTATCAAAAAATAATTCATTTAGTGCAAATTTAACTTAGATACAAATGAAGAAAAAATATTTTATAAAAAACGAAAAAACAATTAAATTATTGATGGGAATAGGAAGCACTAATAATAATTTTTGAAATTATGATGGGATATTTTACCAAAGCTGGAAGCATTCATAGCAAGAGTGAATAGGTGAGGAAATCAATGGCGGAAGTTAAATTAAACTGCCTGTAAGGGAGGGGTCCCATAGGCGATATTTGTCCCATGTCAACCACGTGGCTGTTGTTGGAATCCAATAGACACGCTCAAAGCGCGTGAGGAAGTCTGCACTGTACAGACCCCTCGCATCTCGAAGACATTTCAAATTCAAATGGTAAGTAACCATCACATGTTTCGCAGTACACGGTAAAGACGAACTGCCCCTGCAGACATGTCTGTTAACTTCAAATCTTCAATATCAAAACAAGCATGAGACAAAAAGTACAGGCTTCAAATTTAAATTCTTTTTTTATAAGTTCAAAATTTAATTTAATTTGACAAATGAGTGTAGTTTTTACATTGTTATCATTATAATACAATATAATTTTTTCTTTTAAAAACCCAAAATATAAACAAAAAATATTATTTTTAATTTAATACATAGAATATAATATTGTAAACAAATTTTGCATTTGTTTAAAAAATATATAATGTGAAATTAAAAAAAAAAAAAGATAGGTCTGCGCAATTAGAGTAGGGGCCGGCAACAAATCTAACATGGTTGTAATAAATGTAAACGAAGATGGGGCTTCATTCTTGATGTTGAACCAATAACTATTTGTGATGCACGTGCCTCATGTGGTCCCGACCTCGTTGAAGAACCAAAAATTCAAATTCACCCTTGATTTTTATTTAATCTTAAGCATAATTATTAAATTATCATATATATATATATATAATTAAAATACAGCTTTCCCAGCGCCTCATCATGTCTTTAATACTTCATTTGTTTTAATTTACGAAATATATTTAAATAAAATCATACATATCAATAAAATTCACTAACTATATATTATAATCTTATTTTTTTAAAACATAAACTTATAAAAAAATATTTTATTTAGTATTTTATTTATAAAAGAATATTGAAAAAAAAGAAAATATGAGAAGGGTATTATTAAAAATAATAACATTAATGAAATTTTATTTTTTAAAAATATCTTATATTTTGGAAGGTAAAATATTTTTTAAAAATATTTTATAATTTGGGATCAATGAATAAAATTTGAATTTTTTTGGTTCTTAATAAGACAATCTTATATTAATTATTTTAAATGTTAACATCTTATTTATCAATTAATTTATTATAATTATTTATGGTAAAGAAGAGTAAAATTATAAAGTTATATATATTTTAACAATTTAAGAACAAAACAACTATTTCTTAATAAATTTAAATTTAGTTAAGTTTGTCTTACATTAAAAAGTGGAGGGGCTGTGTTTTAAATTGTAAAATTTCAATTCTGACAATTATCTGATTTGATTATTGGTTTTTTATATAGTTATTATATAACGTCAACTATTGTTAATTTAATTTGAAGGATATGTTTGAGAGTATACGTGTATGACATGATGTATTTGCTTTTATTTTTAAAATTGGAGGATGCTGTGTGGGTACGGTTATTTTTCTAAAAATTACTTTTTTTTAATTGATTATTGATAGTGATTTGGGCTTTTTATGGATTTAGCTTTATCTGTATTTGTGGGATGTCAGAGGCTCTGACACCTCCTCCCACTCTTGCCGGTCACTGACCACGCCGCTGGTCCTTTTGCTTTTGCATTATTCTTCCCATTCAAAAGTTGATACTCCAAAGCACTTCATTTTTATATTCTTTTTTATTTTTTTAATTTATTTATATTACTTAAAAATATTTATCTTGGGACAATGACATTAGAATTCCAAAAAAAAAAAATTATAAAAATTAGTTCCCATATAATGTTTTGAAAAATCAACTACAATATTAATTTAAAAAGTTTTAAATTTAAAAATTTTAATTATAAATGAGATATTTAAATTTTAAATATAACTTTTAGTTTATAATTATAAATTTTATTTGTAATTATTTAAATTAATATTTATAATTTATTTTTAAAATAAATTTATTGAGAACTTAATTATTATCAATTCCTTATCACTTTGAGACATTGCTGTTATTCTCCTTTATTTTTCACCAAGAAATGTTAGTTTAATTAGTAAAGATTTAACACATTACCTATAAAATTGTTCAAGTCTCACTATTAATGTATATATTTTATTGGTGAGTAATTTATAAATAATAAATATTCCCTCCAGTCCTTTTTATTAATCACATTCAAAAGGATTTTCTTTATCTTTTACTTTATATAAGTTTCTTTTCTTTTCTTTTTTTTTTTGTAACACTTGATATACAATTTTAAAACTATCCTCTTATAAATTATAGAATGAAGTGCAAAATTTCAATTCTCAAAAAACACTTTTCATGTATCAAATCATTCTTTTTAAATTTAAGAGGAAAATTGAAAAGAGATTTTAAAAATAATAATTTTACAATCCTAACTAACTCAGGGTTTTGTTGATCTAGTTATAATTGAAGGATAAGAAGAAGTAATTTTGTAAGCATTTTTAAATACAAAAACATGTATTAATTCTGATAAACTCTCAAAATTCAAGTGACATGAACTTTTTGTTTTCAAACAAACATTTTTTTTCATTTTAATTTTTTTTACACCTTTTCCCGTCCATGACAAATTTCCCATCCAAATATAGGACATCCATTACTATCTTCCCCCAAAAAAAAGTTATACTTTTTATTAAATAACTTATATAAATGTCTTATAAATAATTATAATTCTAATAAAATTATTTTTAAAAGAATAATATATAAAGTAAAGGTATAGTAGAAAAAAATTATAGAAACTACAAACAATCAGTATTTGAAATAAGTAGAATATTTTGTTTTTTTACAGTTACGTAGTTTTAATTTTTTA